GTATATCTTGCACTCATCTAAAAATATATCAACAATTTTCAAGGGCAATCAATAAAGTTTACCCCTTCTTGGTTAAAGAAAAACATTAAAAGTTCTATTAAAAATTACATAAAAACATGTTTACATAAAAACTGTGAAATATATAGACTTCAATTTTCTTTTTAAAAATAATCCACATTTTTAATAAATCAAACTTAAATTAGTTAAGAAATACATAACTTTCCATAAACCTAACAAATAATTTCAAATTTCTGAAGAATTTTAGGAATTTCCTCAAGATTTCTATAAGACCTTTCAACTTTGACTTCTTGCAATACTTACTTTACTTTTCAGCCAACAAATAAAGCTTTAAGCCTGAGAGGAAAGTAAAGTACAGGAAAAACTTTCTTAACGCTCAATGTCAGGGCCTAATTGGGCATCTTTGGCTTGCTATTTGCGAGTTGGCTACACTTTTTCGACTCATTATGCTGGTTAAGTTAACAACAGTGACTCAATTGTGCCTCGCCCCAGCTGCCAGCTGGCAGAACCAAGAAAAAACAGCAACAACAACAACAACACCACCATGAAAATTCCGCCAACCAAAAAACAAAGCCAACTAATTAAGCTTCGATTAACTTTGCCACGAGAAACAATGGAGCCAGTGTGAGCATGACAAGCCGCATTGGTTTGGGCTCAATATCCACCGAAAATCGACAGGATTTTTGGTTATGGCCCCAAGGAATTGGCCCCAACCATCAAAAGCGGCCTAAACAATCCAAAACCATTTGGGTAAATAATCGAAAATATGGGAAGCGATTCAAGTGCTTTGCCGCAAACTTTTCCTCACCAACATGCACACGTTGCGGTATCATTTCCGTTGAAAACTATAGCCACTATAACTATACTCGTATATAGCCTCCAGTGCCCAAAACTTCAAGATTGTGGAAATTTCAACAATGGAATAAAACTTTTTTTATGTTAAATGGGAATTAGAGAGCGGGGCCGGAAGGGAAAAGGAAGTGGAAGGGAAAGAGAGACAGCGAGCAGAAGCCATCGATGTACAGCAAAAATTGATCAAATATTAAAACTAAAGTTTGGGTAAGCCATAAAAAATGAGGAATCCTTAGAAATAATGGAAGTTTGTATTGCTATTTTGATTTTTAGGTATTTAATAGAGGGAATTAAGTTTGTTGAGGTTAAGGTTGAGGTAAGATTTTCAACTCAGGATTAAAAGCTCAACCACTTAAGTGCTCTTTCTAAGTATTATTAATAAGAAATTAGCAGTTTTCTTTATTTAAAAATGATTTAAGTAGTTTTGTGGTTAACAATACAATGTTTTATCCTTTACTAATACAAACCAAAATGCTATTTATTTTACTTTAACAATTTAAGTTTAGCAAACAACCCTAAAGTTAATGTAAAAGGATTTACAGCAACTGCAAGCTAAAGCCCTGCGCCCTTAAATGGTAGCTAAAATCAAAACAAAAAGATAAAATATTTTAAACAATATTACCCTGCACTATCTATTATTTAGCTACAATTTGTTTTTGTTTTATTTTTAAGACCCTTAAATTGGAATTTGCAGTGTGCCGCAGCAGTTTATTTAAAAAATCATGGGCTATTTTTTTCCTTCTGTTTTGCATATCGGCGTGTTGGTGCCCGGAGTGGTCCGTTCCTTTTTGCCCACGACACTGATGCCAATTTCAATCAATTCAATTAATGCCTCAATTCATGGTTTTATCTCCTCATTCCGGCCAGGACCGCCCCCCCTTTGTAACACCATATGAAATGGAGAGAAAATGGGTGAAAAAACCAGGGAAAAGAAGGCAAAATGAAGGAGGGCAAAGGAAAAAAACGTCGAACGGAAATCCCGAACAAACCGCAATGGCCGGCAGCAGACAATGCAAATTGTTTGAGTGCCGCCCTCTGAATCTGTATATCTGTATATGTATCTGTATCTGTGTATCTGTATCTCTATACAGCAGTGTGCAGTACGTATCTGTATCTGTAACTGCGGTTTCCGTTTTGGCTCTCTCTTTTTTTTTGCACGATTTTTTTATTGCATGTGAAGTATTTGAAGTATTTGCGAACTACGCTCGAGTGTATTCATTCTCCTTTTTTTTTTTTTTTTTGGTTACAGAACAAAAAAGAAAGCAAAGGAGAAAGTAGATGCTAGACTTTAATGTACTCGCAGTTCATTTTGTATTCATGCACTTTACAATTTCTTGTTTCCGATGCGGGCCAACAAATGCATGGTCAGGCCACAATGTCTTGTGGCCAGGGGACACAACCTCGGTTGCAGGAGCGCAGAGCAGACTCAGCAGGATGTGTTCCTTTGGTTTCGCTTTGGCTGGGTAATCATCATCTGCCCCAGAGTGCCTTCCAGAGAGTGGTCTTTAAGTTATCTCCATGCTGATGATGGATAGAAAATAGCTCTTGCATAGCTTCACTTTCAGCTGGGGGATATGATTTATGCGAGCGCCCAAAAACCACCGAAAGCTCTTCTTTAACTTGAGGTAATATTGAAATATATATATATTTCCATGTTAACCTATGTAAATGTCTGAGAATATATGCAGGTAAGTGAAAAGTTGCACCTTTGATATATGATAACTTACTCATAAGCTGAAATTTCTCAAAAGTGCTGCCAAAAGGTATCTCGAAATGCATTTAGAAGGCACTTTGCTATTTGAGATATATATTTACATTATTTTAAGCTCATTTTTAGGTTATTTAATGTCTGATTTTGTGACTAAAAGCAATACAAACAAAAGTATATAAAGTAGATTTTTATCTGCCTAAATCTGCCTTTGACTTTCCTTTTAGATATATAATCCATCCCCATTCAAGCAGATCACATCTGAAACTATATACATACATATATAACAACTTTTAAATCGTTAAAATAATTTCATTTATTCCATTTTCCAATTAGTATAAAATTATTGTCAAATTCTCGCCTGATAGCAAAAATCAGCCGCATGAAAAGATTTTCATTTTTGACATATTTTCAGTTGCTTGTTTTTTTGTCAATACATTTTCTGATTATGCCGCTCATGCGTTATATTTTTATTATTGTTTCACCTTTAATTAAGCGATAATCACTGATTTTCAATGCAGTTCGAATGCGATTAAAAAGTAAAAACATTTCAAACGAGAAGCTGCTCATTTTCCCCGATAATAATAATAATTCAGATTTAAATTACATTTTTAGTGGGCATTAAATTCCATTTGAAAGAGAATATCGAAATCAACAAAAGTTATTTCGAATTGTTAAATTTGTTACCCGAAAATGTATTTAAATGCAAATTCCGGATACTTGCAATCACAGAGCTCTTTCATGCATTCTTTGGCTGGGGGATTGACTTTAAGTACATTTCCATAGAACAACAGCATGGCAACAATGCAGAAGCCAGGACATAGGACAGAGGACCAACGCAAATATCGAAAGGGAAACACGTGCAGGCGGCTGCCGAATGGCGACAATCATTACAAGGACGATGAGCATAAACAACACAGCAGCAGTGGCAGGAACATCCTGACAGACGGAAACGCAAACACAGTCACACTCGCAGACTCACACTCACACACTCACTTTATTTACATACCACATCACGTGCGGCTGTATTTGTGGCACCATTTATAAAGCAGATACGTATGTATGGTATGACAATATATATGCCACACAAAAAAACCTCTTACATTATGTCAAATGTTTTGTTTGTTCTTTATGCTAGTGCTGGATGTCAACGCCCGTTGTTTTTTCGTCCTGGCAGCATTACGTGCCTGTTGAATTTCGTCGTAAGCCCCCTTCGTTCTTTTACTCCCCCCTAGAATCTCGGATTTAGTTCGCATTTTTACTGGCCAATCGAGCACAAATTAAACCCGGATCAAGGACCTGACCAAAAGCACTCGATTCAGCAATCGCTGGCTAAGCACTCCGGTGACTGGCAACCAAGCGACCGGCGACCGGCGACCGTTTTCAACCTGAACTTTTGTCCGACTTAACTTGCAGTCAAAGTTTTTCCTTCTTCGTTTTTTTCCCCTTCTCTCTATCCCCCTGGCTGAACGCATATAAGTAAGCACAATTGGGTCAATACATTGAGCTCAAGTCAGGGATTTGTTGCTAACAGGAAACACAGAACAGAAACAGCTAAGAGGTAACAGAACTAAATCCTTGACTAACCTGTTTTTCAAGTTCAACTTTTGGCTGGCGTTGCATCAAGACGATTTAATTGATGTCTGGAAATTGTTAATTATCCTTATAGCTGGCCTTTAAGATGCTTATTAGACGTTTGCTTTGTGAATGCGAGATCACCAAGTATGATGGCCAGGACCCAACTAGCCAGAGCCAGTTCGACTCAATTATCCTAATGCTATTATCTCGGTATTACGCATACGCCGTGTACGACGATGTGTGTTCACCCAATGAAGGAGGCACATAAAATGCAGAGCAGGCATTAAGATATTATTTGTGGGTTTCCTTCATCCAAACCAAAACCAAGTGCAATTATTTGCAGAATATTTAGTATATAGGGGAAGGAGCTCTTAAATATTTCACTGACTTAGCCAGCTAAGGGAGTCTTTAGGTGTATATAGAATATATATATATATATATATTATCTAAGCAGCACACACATTCCTAAGACTGAAAATTTCCAAGCCACAAAGTGTCAGACTTGACTTGCTGCGGCTGCTGCTGGCAATAAATCTTGAAGTTCATTAAAAAGTTTATTTATATTTCACCTGCTGTTTTCGAGGGGGAGGGACAGGGCGGAAGTCTGGCAAGTGTCAAAGAAATAAAACCTCGAATTGCCAACAAATCTTTGTTAAGCTTGACCTTGACTGATGGCCTCTCATAAGAGGTCGCTTAAAAAGCCCCAGGCAACGGGCCAAAATAAATGATTCAATAAAAGAAGAAAACAGTAAACAGAAAAATAAACTAATTCTGAAATTAGTAACTACCATTAAAGGAGAATTAACTTATAAATTGTGTAATAAATCTGGAATGTGACCTGAAAACGAACAATTAGTTTCATAATTACTTCGCATAAAAACATATTTTATTTAATTAGTTGTTAAAAGTTAACAAAGGAAGACTTTTTATTACAACATTCAATGGAAATATGTGCTTTTCTTTTCCTGCTGACTTTTCTGTTCTCTTTTAATTAACACTAAAATATAGACAGGGCAAGGTTTTTCCTTACATATATATTATACTATATATTCATTCCAAAATATGTACATTCACTAGCTTCATTCAACTAAAAAGTGTTTTCGCCATTGAAGAGTCAACTGGAGCGCCATCAAAAGAAGTCGCTCCAATAAGTTTGAATGGCATCAGAGATACACTCGTTGCCACATGCCCCAAAACGTATCTGCATGTTGAACAGACGATAGTGGTGCGGCTACGGCCTTGCTTTTGTATTTGTTAACAATAAAGGGGGTGTATGTATATGGGTGGGTGGTATTTTATCCGGCTTTAATTAAGATCCGGCTGGAAGAGTCCATATATGACACGTACAGCAGTGCACATCAACTGATAGGAAAATAATAACCAAGCTTAAAGTATTGGAGTTATCAAAGAAAAACAGAAAAACATAAAAGTGAGTAAGTTTTATAAATTAATCTGTAAGAAAATAGGTTAGTAAGCTATATGGGAAGTTTAGTTTTTAGTTACGACTTACCCAATATTGATTATCTTCACTTACTATATACAGAATGTAGAGAACAAACAGGAAAATATAGAAAATGATTATGAGAAGTAAGAATACGATGAAAACTATCTTCCAACGCTGGTCTAACTGGTGACGTTTCAGGCTGATGTTGCGACGGGAAAACATAGCTAAGGAGGGGATATCGTATTCTAATTAGCTTTAACCGGATTTAAAGATATATTCATATCAGGTTAAGTCAGAATACTTAAAATACTTTATATATTATTAAAGATTTAAGGAATTGAATGAAGTAAATGACTATCCCCCCTACTTCCTACTACCTTTAAGTACTCCTCAAAAGTCTTAAGCTCTTAAATTATGACACCTGATTGCCTACTCACCTTTCTGCTGATTGTAGAACAACGCTTTTCTGTTCTTAATTAATAGAAGTTCAATGGGTAATGGATTCCACCATCTCTGTGAAAGTTTCCATATTGCCAAGAGCGGGCTCAATCGCAACGGACATCGTAGGAGGAGCATTCGCCAAAGTCCGACTTGAGGGTGAAATACATGCCCACACAGATGCCAGCTATGAGGATGAGGATACCCAGCCAGTAGACCAAACGCCAGAAGGGCCATGACGAGGTCTTCTTTTGGGGACGCTCCGGTCTCACCTCCTCGTCGACTTCAACTCTTTGTGGTTGGCGGCGCAGCTTATTTCCCATTTCCCAAGGCCTTCTCAACTTTTGCCTACGAATTTTCGGCCCCCTTTTTACGGCTCTGATAATTGATTGGATTTTCCCCGAACAAGTCGACAGCAAACCGAATGATAACATTTTATTGAAATACTCGTAACTTAAACATCTTGTTTGTTGTTGTAGTAGGCTGAGATTCATCTCGTGGGCCAAACTTTTGGCTAATTATTTAAGTTAATTGGCCTTTGTCCGCAAAAGGCCAGGCCAAATAACGATGATGATGATGATGGAGGTCTAGAGGTGGTGGTTTAGGTCAGGCCTGAAATATTTGCTCAGAGGCCACAAAATGTCTCGCAAATTTGTTCAAATTACTTGGAACACAACAATACAATAGTCCTTGCCACCGCAGTGTTCGACATCCTTGCAAACTGGAGAAGTCGAAGTCGGAGAGAGAGAGCTCTCTCTCCATGCATAAATAAAAGGGTCCTGAATGGAATATAAAAGGACTTTGTTTGCGGTCGAGAGATGAAAAGTCATTTCTCTCCATTATTTGCCAACTAATTGGTTGTTGGACTTGTGCATTTGTGTTGCCAAAATGTTTGCCCAAAGAATTTTGGAATTTGGTTAGGTGTCAAGTTGGCCAGGCCATCACTCTTGGCAAATAAAGCCAAAAGCATGGAAATCAGTAAAACAAATTGCAATCTGCTTTTTATCGCACGTCGCTGCATGACTGCTGGCTGGCTGCCTTCTGCCTGCTGCCGGCATTTTCCTTGCTCCGTCATCGATTGCCTGGCTTTTTCACCGACTTTTCCCGACTCTTTTGCAACTGCCAACCGGGCAGCTATTGACTTGCTCATTATGGCCCTGATGATGACTGCTCTTGCCTTTTTCCCGCTCTACATACATACCCCAGTGTATATCTGTGTGTTTTGGTTCCGTTTCATTTTCAATTTTCCTGCAACAAAAATAAGAAGCTACCTCATTCTGCAACCGTATCGTGGGTGGGCAATCAAAAGGGGGGAGCCTTATAAATTCTTAATATATATCTTAACGGATATTCAATTTCCGTCGACCAAGAAATACATTAAATTCGTAACAAAGCTAAGCCGCTTCAACCGAAAGATGGCTAAAATTGTTAAACTCTAAAAGGGAGGGGAGCGGTTAAGGGGGGGATGTATTAAGTATTAAGTATTAAAAATTCAAAGTCGTTATAGAATGGGAAAAAGTTTTGCAGTCCGGGGCCAAGACATAATAATAATATAGAGCCAGAGTGTAAGAAGTGCTGAGAAATAAGGAATGGCCAGGACAATGGGGAGACAACATGGCAAACTATGAACTGGGCAAGCTGGGAGAAGATCTAAGAAAAAGGAGGAGAAAACTGAGGAGGAAAACTGCAAAACTGTGATGCCGAGAAGCATCTCAACTATGCCCAACTTGGCTGTCCGACTGTTTATTTTCACTAGACTTCTACGTCGTTTCTCTGGGCTCTTTCTTTTGGCCTTATTACGCTTCGTGGCCCATCATCTGCATGGCCTTGGGGTGGTGGATGGTGTGGTGTGCTGTGGTGCAAATGCCAGGACGAACAGCCAGCAAGTTGTCAACTAACTTTTGCAACAATAATCGCTAACATAGCAGGAGCAGGAGTGACAGAACTGAGAGGCAGCAGCAGCGGCAGCGGCTGCTTGGAGATAAAAACCAGAAAACAATAAGACTCTAGGCTGACTTTTATTCAGACTTCTCAGTCTTCATCTCCGTCTCAGCCTTTTTAGCTCCTCAACCTTTGGGCACTGCAGCGTTTACCCTCGAAAAAGCAAAGGTCCTCAAAAGGAGCAAACACCAGCAAATAGGCTGTGCGGGCAAGGATCTCTTCAGACTTTCGAGTCCTGGGCACAAAGGACGTGATTGCTTTTGATTTTTAGTTTTGTTTACCCAGACGAGGGTGGGGAGGGGGTATAAAGTGGAAAGGATATGCGAACAGGTTGATGTGTGGCCAGAACATAGTTTCAATTTCAATTCGAATGCCTTAAAAACGCAATTAAAAAGCTAATCTAATATTTTAATAAAACAAAAATGACGCAATGAGAGAGAAATAAAATCATAAAAATGAAATTGAAATGGCTCAGTTAATTGAACAATTTCATAAATGGCTTAATAATGTTGAACAAATAAATTAAGAGGCTTAAATGGCAGTTGGCAAGGCTTGCCTTCGGGCTGAAAATGCTTTTTAAAAATATTAAAATTCTCTCTCTGTGACATTTTAAATATTAAACTTTTAAATTAAACTTAAGTTTTATGTTGTTAAATTGCCAGTTCATTCAACTTTTCATATTAAACATATCACTTAAGCTCTGAAATAGCTACCCAAAGTACGAGTTTCATTTGGAAAAGCTCTCTTAAGCGTAATCCCATTTAATTAAATAAATCTGTTAGCCAACTTTTTGCTTCACTGAACTATTGAATTAGCCTTGCCTTGCCCCGAGGGGCGTTTTAAAAATGTCTATCCAATTTCTGGCATTGTCGTGGGTCCTCGCAATCCTCAAACAGAAAACACACAAAAATAAACCGCCCAAAAAAAAAAAAAGGAGCAAACGAGCTGGCAGGATAGTGTGCGTGGCATATGTAAATTTCAAGCTAATTAAAATTAGCATATATCTCCCCCGTAACCCCCTTCTACCACCCCCTGCTACACTTTCCACAAGGACACCAAATGCGTATATGTGGAAGCCCATTATCTGGCTGAGCCGCAAGAAGACGTGGAAAACTACGCGCTGCTCGAGCTGATTAAAAGCGAAAGCTAACAAGCGTTTGCTCTTTGCCCCCTGCAGCATATGGGTCCTGACCCCCAAAAACCAACCCCTCTCCCCACCCTATACTTGCCAGAGGGTTTCGCATTAGAGTCGTAAAAATTTATTGTAACTTTTTTATACTTTTTTATTCAGGCCACTCATGTCTGAGCCAGCGGGCTTAAGGCATATTGTGCCTTTTAATTAAACCGTTGAGATGTGTGTCAGAAAATAAAATAAAATGGAATTAAATAATATTTTCCACGTATATATAGTATATATACCTATATATATAAATTGCTTTCCCCTCAGAGAGAGCTTCAACTGGCTTTAGTCGATTACAAAGCTTCGTATTAATTATGATAATTATGCGTAAGCGCTGGTTGGCATTTTAATTGCTCATACGCCATGTTGCACATTTCATGAAAAATTCAACAAAAAGGAAAGCGAAAAACGGAAAAATCTGAAATAAAATTTCATAATAAAAATCTTGTAAATTTTATATTACAAAATAACCTAGAGCAGCATACATCAATTCGTAGCTGAGTTCACTTGGCTTGTTTTTTTCTGGTTTTTTTGCTTTTGAGAATGCATTGTCCTTGGTCAAGTCCTTTGTTAATTGCCGGAAATGCAAATGGGCATGAAAAGTGAAGAGAAAGAGAGAAGGGATGGGGAGAGGAAACTCTGTCGACCATAAATGATTTCCATTTTAAATGCGTGCGAATCGCTCTGCCGTTTTACCATTTATTTACTTTGGAGGTGAGCCAGCTTCCTTCCACTTTGTACGCAATTTTCATTTCCTTTGGCCGTAGCCCGAAAGTTTTTGTTCCTTTCTGTTTTGGGAGACAACAACAACAATTCGCTTTGGCTTCACACCAAATTTGATTTCATTCGCAAGACGCTCTCAGGTTAAATGGTGCAGAAACTCCTGTTGACTTGTCCACTGGCTGACCGAGCCCAAGTAGGTTCTCCGAATGAATTTAAAAGCCACTTGTATGCACAGGAAGAAAAGTTTATATATATCTTAGTTTATGTTAAGTTGAGGCCTTAAAAAGAAAGTTTTTTGATGGCCTAGTTTGTGGGGTATAAGCATAACTTTCACAAAAAGAGGTATATATAGATTTATCGTAAAAAAACGAAACTTTTTCCCTGTGTAAAGTGGCCAAAATGGGCAAATCCTGTTAGCTGTATCTCTATAAATAAATGTCACAAGCTCTACACTCGCTGTCAATTTGTATGCCCATTCTCTCTCTCTCTGCTGCTGCATTTGCATAACAAAATTGCCATGCATTTCTCATGCCTTTTCGAATTTTTTCGATTTTTTTGCGTTTTCTGGGATTTGCACTTTGAACTTTGGCAACGCAATCCAAGTCGCCGAAAAGAGTCAGTTATCCATTTGCAGCTCAGCAAGTTTTGACTGCAGAATGTCAACAAAATAAATGCATAAATAAGGAGATCATGGTGTCAGGAAGGGAGGTGGTTTGCAGCCATGCCGCCCCTCAAAGAGGTCTCAATATAACGAGATGATGAAAAATGTTTGAGTTTTGCATTATTAAAGTTCTTGGCTGGCAGTTGGCAACTTTTCACGTGCTGATAAATGGCCCCAAGCTCTCGTAGCGGATGTGCAAAAAAAAAAAGAGGAAGGAAAATGCAAGGAAAACTATTCCATCTCCGGGTGCGAACATCTTTCAATTGAAATATATATCTCCATTTTGGCCCCGGCTATCTATCTATATATATAAACCTATATGAGAGTGGAGTGAACTTTACTGAGGAGGGAAATCAAGTTTTGCTTGGCATTTGTAATTAATTAAAAGCAGATTACTCCCCCCACACCGGAATCACATTAAAAGATAGCTTTTTCCTTAGATAAGCATAAAGGGTTTTGGTTTTTTTCGTTTCACATCAATCCATTTATTGTAAAATACGCCGGTCTAAGGGCCAAGCTTTCTGGTTTCCCTTTGTCTTTTTTAGTCGCTTAACTTACAGGACATAAAATTAATGTATACATAATATATAGTTAATAACTTACTTGCTAAACTGCATTAGCTCTTATGTTCTTTCTTCTTGCCTTCTTATTTTGCTCACTTCATTTGTTTGTTTATTTATTTTTGGTATATATGCAAAACTGCAGAAAATAGTTTTCAGTTTTTAAGGTTTCTTTCATTTTTATTATTTCGTAAAAACTTGCATATTATCTGTTTCTATTTCTGACTTGATCTCTTTGGCATGCGACTCCATCGGTTTATTTTTGTAGGTTGAAAAATTTGTTTTTCATTTTGTTTTTTGCTTTTTTGGACTGAAGCAGACATTTAGTAAGCGGGAAAACGAATGCGTAGACACTATTTTTATGGTACAACAATTACAATTACAAGTACATTTACCAACGCTATAACTAGGTATAGATGTATACTTCATATATGACTGATATGCTGACTTAGGCTAGAAAGTTCCTCTTTACTTCACTTCAGTATATTTATTATTTGTCTGAGATTAGCCTAAGCAAGAGTTTAGGCCTCTTACACATTACAACTAGTTTAGTTTTTAGTTTTTAGTTTACTTCATGGAGGAAGGGTGGGAGGGAGGTAGGGAGGGGGGTAGGACTATGTCTAGACATTAACTCTCTGCATTATCCTTAAATGATATGCTCTATCTTTCTGTCTCGCTTTAGTTTGAGCTACCGCGGAACTTAAGCCTCTATGAGATCTTCTTGAAAGACCAAAGAATTTCATATTTATAGTGGGGGGCCAACTAAATTACGCATACGCCTAGTGTACTCTAAGGCCAGAGTAAGCTCCATTTCGAAAGTTTTAATACTACAACTTAGGTCTGATGATCTCGGGTATCTGAGTATTTACAAAGTGAATGGGTAATTATATAGTTTTTTTTTATACACTTATCTAAGATCTTTTAGATCCACCTCCCACAGACAAACAGTGGACTCCCAACTATAGTAGGCATGGCTCTGGTGGTTCACTGTAGCGGTTATCATCCCCTTTTCCAAGTTGTTTTTTTTTTTGGAAAAAATAAGCGGGAACAGCTCACTTACGCCTGCCCGGCGGCCACGAACTGCACCACCTTGTTGATGGTTGACGCCGTCGTTACCGTTACTGTTGCCGTTGCCGCCGGCGGCGGCGGCGCTGATGTACTGCTCGGCGGAGCAGCAACGGCATCAGCTGCTGGTGTATCAGCAACGGAAACGGTAGCGAGATTCGCTTGGCACTCAACGGCAGGCAGACGCTTGACCAGCATACGGCTTGACTTGACCGCTATCCATTCGTTGCGAGCGGCATCGAACCAAGTCAGGCCCAGATTATAGCGCCCATTGAGATTGGCGTGCTGGCAATGAGAGAACCACCAGCCACCCTCATAGTTAGCAGCACAGTGCGTCTGCGAGATGTCCCGATCGTCATCGATGGCCGAGAATTGCATTCCCTGTTGATAGTTCAACGCATCGGAGGCATTGCCAGAGTATTCGGCAATATGGAGCCGATAGCCATCGGACCGGGAGGATATATAGAAACGTTTGTATTCCGCTACCCAAACATTATCGTAGATATCCTGCATTTGCACCTGCAGCCGGCTGCAGTTGTCCAGGGTGAGATGATGCAGCTGTTCGTTACCAATCCAGAATTCACCGCCAGGCGTTCCAAATCCTTGGGCATAATCCGCCCACGAGCGATTGAAATCAGCACTGCCATCGAATCGCCGCTGCACCGTCGTCCAACCATCGGCGGTACAGTGCGACATCAGCGGATGCCGTTGGCCAGCCGGCGCAATCAGATGCAGTCCATCCGCCTGGGTATGCACCTCGCTGCAGTCATGTGGCAGTTTGTTAATAATCGCCTCGTACTGGGTCTCAACGTTCTCCAGTTCGCTGACCAGAGTCTCGGCCAGGACGGAGTCGATGGGTGAATCATCCTGCGGCGTTTCCTTCTGGAGATTCTGGTGATGTGGTCGCTTGTGGGGCTTGTTCAGGTGGGAGAGCTGTGGGGCAGGCACGAAATAAATGGAAATCTCAGTTAGCCAAGGGGGTAGTGTAAAAAAAACTTAAGGTAGTGTAAGGGGAAATGTATTTAAGAGGGAAAAAGAGTAAGAAGTTTAAAGGAAAATTTAAGAATTTTAAAGAAATTTACCTAACTAGACTTAAAACCTCAGCAAATCGGGCTATAACTCACCTTATTCTTCAACTCATCGTTGACCAGAGACTGCAATCGGTCGACATTGGTCCTCAGTTGATCCACATTGGCGGACAGCTTCCTCATTCCCTCACGCTCCTCCTGCAGGACACTCACACTGACAGCCATGGCTTGCAAGGATCGCGCCGCATTGGTGCCCTCTTCCCTAATCAAGCTCTGCTCGGAGGTGATCTGGGCATTGGCAAACTCCAGCTTGGAGATCTCATGACGCAGCTCTGGGATGCTCTTGTCCATCTTGGTTTGCAGACCCTCCACATCCTCCAGAAGTTCCAGCATGGAAGTGTGTAGCTTGTCCAGGGAGGCAATCTGGCTGCTCAGGTTGAAGTTCGCATTGGCGATGCGATGTTGCTCCACCTCGATGCTTCGAACGCGCTCGTCGATGTGATGGAACTTCAAACCGTTCACCTGGCGGCGCAGGTTGCGATGGGCCAGTTGCAGCTGATGGATCTGCTCGCTCTGGAAACGGCAGTGACGACGCTTGTGATCGGCGCTGGGTTCCAGGCCAGTGGGCTGTAAGAAAAAGTTAAGGGAAAATTAGAAAAATCTTAGAATAAGTAAGAGACTGAAGACTAATCCTTTATCTTTATGATTTCAGAATCCCTAGCATTTATTAAGAATTTTCCATGACTTCCATAAATCTAAAGATAATATTTTCCTTTGTGAAAAGTGACCTCAGCATCTCCCACTCTCTTCCTGAATTAATTTTCCCAACACGTAAGGAAAAACGCTTGATAAGGATGATTTGGGGTAAAAATCTCGTAAGCTGGCTGAGATTCTTTTGTCGCTGGGCGGCGGGCTAGGATTATGTGCTGGGAATTGAATGCTAAATCCATTTATTATAAATGCATTTCATAACCAGGCAGACAGAGCGTGCCACAATAATGTCAGCTGCAGCTCGAGATGCAAGCTTTTGCCCAAAAGCGTGTAAATCCCTGGGAGCTGGTTGATGCCGTTGGCGTGGGTGGATTTGCATCTCTTGCTAAGCCATGCCCCATCTCCCACTCCTACTATGCATCTACTAACTCTCGGTGGTAAAAGCTGCATAAATTTCCACATACATACAATATGCATAGAAATAATTTTGCTGAGTGACAGCAGCAGCAGCAGCAGCAGCAGCAGCAGCAGCGAGCAGCTGTAAACCAAGGTAATGCCATTTGGGTCACATTCAGCCGGCGCCATGAATGAATATGGCCCCAACGCCAGAAGATCTATTCTACAGTTATACTTTATATATATATCTGCCGCCCCAGGGTTTCCTTTCATTTATGCTCGTGGCCATCAGTCATAGAAATTTCCCGGGTAATTGACTAATAAAGGATGCTGGTCGGGAAAAAAGACGGCAGAAAGTGTCCTGCTAATGAATGCAATGAGGGAATGTGAAAAGAAATTATAATATGGATCCTGCAAGGAAAAAAAGGGGCGGCAAAATGAAAACAAACAAAATAATACCTCTTTGAGAGTTTTCTTTAAGTTTTCCTTTTTCTGTGTTGCTTTTCTGACCCCAATAAGTCAACCTTACAAAGTTGTTACATTTTCCAATTAAAGGAAAGCAAAAATGTCAGAACAGAAAAATCCTAAGCCGATTGCAAAGATTTGAATTTTATTTTTTGAAAATTCCTTCACTGTTTGACTTACTCTTCAGTCAGAGTCACTATCAAATTATATTTTCCGAAATTTTCAGCATTTTCCCACCCATCGAATTCAATTATTCTTGGGGTAAAATAAAAAGAGACTAACAAAAGAGCAACAAAAATATGGAAAATATTCATGAATATTTATGCCCGAGTTGCGTTTGTGCCTCAGCGGCATCGAACACTTTGGGCCGCTGTGAAAATGTTTTCATTGGTGCCGCAGCCAGTGCTTTTTCCGCTTTTCCTCTCCCTCTTTCTCTTTCTGCTCTTTTGTTTGCTTTGCCTTCACGCACGTTTCGGTGGTGCAGTGGGCGGTTGGATGGTTGGCTCTCCGAGTGGGTGGCCAGCCAGAAGCCGCCTGCCTTGGCGTTGTTTTATGTGAAAGGTCACGAACGCGGCTAATACGACACGTTCGCGTTTTATATGAACTCTGGCCGAGACGGGGAAGTGGCCATCAAAACGGAGAAATCCTCAATATATATATTCGGGCAAACGTGTTCGGTACGATATATATATACGATATATATATATATAAATATTTCTAAGGCGGAAAGGTGCCAGTGTTGGCATATAAATTTCGCCCATCAACGGTATAATTAAATGTGATTTATGTGGCTCAAATTTCCCTTCTGCAGAGACAAATGAATTTTTCTGTGTGCACTGGCCAATGGCCAATGGCCGATGGCCGCGATAATTGAAATCCAAATTGTGGCATAAATATTTCAAGTGTTTTTCGTGGGAAGTCATAAACAAAAGGATCACAGGAGCAGGAGTTGGAACTGGGGTTGGGGAACTAATTAATTTCCAGGGAAAAGACTGGGTTGGCTCCTGGATTAAAAGTGAAAATTTTACATGCTGTACTTAAGTGAAAGCTAACAAGGATTTGCTATTAGCGCGACAGCAATTCCAAAGGGGATGGAGAACGAGAATGGGAATGGTACTCCATGGTTCTCCCTGGCACATGGAGCATAGAAAAAGAGCACAAAAATCTGTACCTCCTCCTGATCCTGCTGCTACTGCTACCACGGCGAATTGTCGTAAAAATTTAATAGGACTTTTGTGCGATGCTTGAAAAAGTTACGCTTACGCTGTTAGCAGATAGGAAAAATGGTTGAGGGGAGGGAGTTGAGAGGCAGTAGAGAGAGAGAGGCAATAGCAGTCATAGGGCGCCGCAAAATGCCATTAAGTTAATGCGCATTTGGGGGCCAGGAAAGGCTCGTTGCCAGGACGACCTCAAAGTCAACGTCAACGTCAACCTGATCCCTGGCCAAGAAACTGGCAGACGTGTGCATAATTTCAAACTAAAATTTATCCCACAAATATAAATCTAACCAAAGGGATTTAATTTCCAAGGAATTTCCCAGAATTTCTCCCTAAAATTTCCATGAAATCTGAGTAGCTGTTTCAATAAAGATAATATGCAACGAAGACATGAGTATCTTTCGCCAATCCAAAGGGGTAACAATCAAACAAATTGCCGGCACTGGCAGTGCCAGAGATGTTGGTAGGTAACATGAAACAAAGGCAAAACAAATATCAACATAAATAAGGTAAAAATGCCAAGCACTCTGTAGGGGGAGGTGATATATATATATATATATATATATACAGAGAGAACCGAAACAGGATACTCCGTGCCAGGGTGCCTTGGGGCTCCGGCTCCTTCTCGATACGACTGCCTCTGTGTGCCTGGCATTTGTTTGCCTTGCTAATTTAACAGCCAGTCTTTCATATGTACAATATCTACCATCTCTTCCCCTATCAGATGCTCCCCCCTTTGGCCAAGTTATAGTGGCATCAATAACCAATGATAAACATTTGTGTTTTTGCCTCTTTTTGGAGCATTCGGCATATCTTGGCCCAACTGTTGCAACTGACAGCTTTCATCAAAGCAATTTGTAACAGAGTGCGTGAGCAGACATATGTATAAAAGGATATATATATATATGCCTTTATATCGGAGGCATCAATCTGCAGACAGTTTGCAATTAGAGTTGGCAAATTATATTTGGCTTTTCCCCTGTCACCGGCAGATGTTTATGGGTTCAAGTGCTCTCACCTCTGGACTAAAGTTCTATATAAATGCATAAACTACAGATTGGCTTTAACTATTAAATCAAGCTTATATTGTCCAATTTATCAGGCTAATTTAGGATTAGTATTTGCTGGCTTATTATATATCAATATAGTCCAAAGATAGATATGAATTTAATTTGGAAAGAAATCGTTTTAAAGGACCTGCAAAAATTCCTGAAAAATAAACATTTATCTTCGGTCCATCATCGCTATGGCAACCTCCAGCCAGAATGTGTTGCTATTCGCTTTCTTTGTGTTTGCTTTTTTTTCTATTTACGTTTAATATTTCCGCCAGTCATTTCCCGGGAATTTTCCAACTCTGGTTTCTGTCTAATCCGCAAAGGTTTTATTTTTTTGGGTTTTTGCATTAACTTTACTGCTTTGACTTTGTACATTTTTTGTTCTCTCGGCTAATCAAATAAAGGAAAGTTGATTAAATTTAACCAGCCAGCCCAGTCAGCTCAGTCAGCCACACACACACAAAAGAAAATTGTTGTCTATTTTCGAGGGGGTTTTCCCTTTTTTTTTCTGCCAGCCACCTGTGCAATTTTTTATTGTTTTGTATTTTTATTTATTTTTTGGCTGCTTATCCTTGAGCTGGTCTCTCTACGGCTCTCTGGCTCTCCATCTGCTCCTTGGCCTTTGTTATCTGCTTTCTGCTCTTTGTTCTAATTTAACCTAATTTCTGCCTTGCTGCGCTCCTATAATAACAATTTTCAAAAATTGCTTTTGGTTTTTTTTTTTTTTGTGAGCTGAGAAAGTTTAAGAACTGGTTTTTGTTTCTGGTCAAAAAGCGCCTCCACCTTTTCGGTGGGAAAGAAGCGAAAGAAGAGAAAAAAAAAACGTAATGAAAAGGATCAAATTGTGCTGAAGCATCGCGTTAGGGGGAAGCGAGGCATGTGGCAGGGGAACTGATTATCGAAGCACTCGAGAGCATCTGCCGCAGCTCCATCTACTCAGCGACTCCACAACGCCAACTCCTGCTGTTTGTTGGCTGCCAAAAAACTTGGCAAAGACAAGAGACAAAAGGCTGGCCCTCTGTCTGTCCATCAAGTTAACCCAAGCCAGTTCCCAAAAGCAGCTGGCCAGTGAATCCCATGCCCTCTACGGCTCCTCTGCCCCATCTCCTTTGACTCCAGGCGATTAAAAGGTGATTTCCTGCTTTTTGTTTTGCAATTTTCAGCAATTTCGCTTTATATTTTGGCAACGGCCTGCCCATTAATGATACATATATATCAGCACACACAAGGTCTTTGAGATATATATATAGATATATAGCATATATAGTATGTGATGCGTGTGCTCAGAGGTCCGGCGAAAGCCGCTTAAGCTGCCTGGCTGAGCACTTAATCCCCTCCTTGTACTTAAGGAGCCTCCTGGGTATATCGAACCCGCGGGAATTAGAGGTTAACCATCGGTCGATCGAACTCCGAGGAATTGAGATAAATTAGGAATGTCAGATGGTCTTTTGAATTAATTGAAATGGCTTTTGGTCTCAGGAGTAGTTAGTTTTAAAGCTTGTCTTTAGTTTAAGTTATTATTAAATCTCATTTAATACCTCAAGAATTTACTATAAGAAATACTTTTTAATATAAAGTTAAACTAACCACAAAGAGCCTTCAAAACAGGGTATCTTCTAGTCGCAATGCCTCCTTTTCCCTTCTATTTTTATATATTTTTCTTAAATTTCTGTTTGGCCCTTCTGAGACTCTCAAGTAATTGCGTTAGCTCGTCGAATTTCCTCGCTTTTGTGGGCGGACAAAGCACACACACACACACACACACATACATAAATAGAATTTCCAGCCAAGAAAGTGAATTTCGCTGGCAAAAAGTATATATATTCCCAAAAAAATATATTCTTCTAAGCAAGCAAATTTCGCTTAAGCCAAACTTCAAAGTGAAGCTCACCGAGCGAGTGAAGGAACGGCATCGTGCAACCAGATCAAAACAGGTGGCAGCCAAACCAGTTTCATGCATACAGAGAGGGGGAGTACAGGGGGTAGCAACAACAACAGCAGCAGCAGCCAGAAAAAAGGGATAAAGGTAGCTGGGCCCCACTGACATATTTCGTTGATGGTCGAACGACGTAACCGCATTCTCATATTGGAGCGGACTGAGGCATAATCCTTTTAATGAAGCAACCTGGATCTGGTGCTGTAGCTGTAGCTGGAGCTCGTTACCTGGCTGCCTTCCCATCACCAGGGCTTTTACCTGTTGGCAGCTGCCTTTGTTTTCGCTCCAAGTTTCCCCATTGTTGATGTTGCTGCTGCCGTTGCAAGTCCTTTATTGACATTAATTATAATTAAGAAGGCGGCAAGGGTGTCTCGAGTCCTTCCACATACGACGTGGGCCCCAGATCCTTCACTTTCAGAGATCCGATTTCTAGAACTTCACTCTGACTTATGTATTGCGCACATCATTCATCGTAAGCCCTGATACGAGAGCCCTTCTAAGTATGCCAGAGTTCTGACGAAAGGATGCCACTGATCATGGCTCCATCATTTACGGGAATCTCTTTATGATTCTGTTGGGAGGTTGGCCCAGGGACATTAAGGCATTGAATGTGAAACCTAAGTGGCTGCCATGGGCCAAGGGGGTGAGTCCACTGGCGGCATTAAATATTAAATACGACAACGTCCTGCGGTGCGTATGAGTAATTTGGCCAACGTATGTGTGGCAGGCCATTAAAAGGTTGAGGCAAAAGGCGGATTGCGACCCACTCGGACCCACTCGTTAGCACATCGTGCTGCTTACCGCCCTCGACATTTACCGCTCCTTACCTGGCAGCGGCGGAGGCGGAGTCTCCTTCCCCGCATAAAGTAAGGCATAAAACGGGCAGATAATGCCCCGCCAGGTTGGCGGTCGCTTTATGGGACGCACTTAAAGTGAAAACAAAACAAAGCTCCGGCTTTCTTTTGGGGGCCATAAAAAGCACGCACTGAGAGAAAAGTTTATGATAATCTAAGTGATTATCTTTTACTGGTACTGGTTTTTGTATCTCAAAAGATTTCCTACTAACCAAGTTATATCTGGTTTAACCTTTAGAAATCTGATTAAATGGTATTCCTAACTATTGTTTAGTTTCAGTAAAAGACTTCCATTTAATTCTTTTCAATGCAGACCCTTCTGTTCTACCTGTGCCCTCGCGTGTTTATCTGATGATTAGCATAAAAGGCAGTTACTCACCTCCTGGCTGGCTTCCTGGCTGGCGCTCTCCTCCTCAACACTGGCTGATCCCTGGCCATTCTTGCTCGTCCTTTTCTGCAGCTTGACAAGGGCATGCTGGAAGTCCTGTTCCTGTTGCAGCATCTCCTCTCGTAGTTCCTGGACATAGACCTCCGTTTGCTGTTGACGCTCACGCTGGGCAGCCAGTTCCAACTTCAGCTGCTGGTAATCACTACGAATGGTGGCCAGATCCTCAAACGTAGAGCTGCGCTGCTGAACATCCCTGGCAACATTGCCGGCTGTCCTCTGCAGATCCACCAATTGCTTCCTGATCTCCGAGATCGTCTGCTGCAGCCATTCAACGGTCAAACGTTCCTTATTGCCACTTTGCGAAGAGCGCAGTGAGGCCACCTCCTCCCTGGGTTGAACAAAAAAAGGAGAAAATATTTGATTAAAATCGCTAATTAGCTGGGAGGGTGAACGTAACGCTTTAATTGCTATCCCCCTGACCAGGAAATCTAATTTAAACTGACATTTTCAGGCTGTCGGCTAACTTAATTGCCAATGCGGCCGGCGTGCGGTCCACTAATGGGATTTCGACCTGCACTCAATCATGCTCTAGCCCCGGCCACGGATGCTTGCTTCACCTACACTATACCGCTGAATTTCCATCAACCATTTAAATTGAGAACGTTGCGAGATTATTTCAAACAAACTCTGAACATTGTCAGCAAACAAAAATCACAGAAGTCATATACGAACAAAAAATTAACAAAATACGATGGCAAACTTTGGCAGGAAAACACACAAAAAAAAAGTGTAGAGAGGCGGCCCAGACCGCAAACAACAAGTGCTGGCTAAAAACGTTGTTTAAATGTTGAAAATGAAAATGTTGTAGCACTTGTGGCAGTTGCCAGTTGCCAGTTGCCAGCTAACAACACAAATAAGACCGAATGGAACGCATTTTTGTGGCATTTCAGACAATTAAAGTAGTCAGTTGGAAGGAAGCGGAAACGGAAGTAGAGCCACAAGAGCAAGAAGAAGAAAAAGAAGAAGCTCAACAAATTCGGAGCGTAGGTAAAAAGTTTTGTTTTTCGAAAGGCAGCAGAACAGCAGCAGCAGCTGGCGTTGTTCTTTTATTTTTCACTGTCAAAAGAGCACACAGAGCTACATGAAATTTTCATAAAGAATAAGAAAAAAAAAATGAAAAAACACTCAACCGGCAAGAAGACAAAAATAAAATAAAAACCAAAAGAAAAGTTGTATTCGAGTTTTCTTGGCCTGGCGTACATACATCACATTCGGTTAGGTTTTTATTCATGGCTGCGTATACGTAATATTTCAAATTGTTGCATTGTGCGTGGGCGGGCGGTTTTTGTTAATTTTATGGCTTGCTAAAGTTTTTGTGGCCCCCCAGACCCAGACAGACGACTATGAAAAGTTATGGATTTGTTGTTGTTGCTCCTGTTTGGCTTCACCATTTCCACAATAATTACTTAAATATTTAATTAAAAAAGGGTAAGCGGGTTGGCTTCAAGTTTTGGCTATATAAAAAGCTTTAACTGACTGACTACCCGAGTAAACATATATCTGTATCAAATATTTTAGATGTTAAATAAAATAAAATTGGTTGTGAAAAACTAGCTTTGGTAACGTAGAAAAAAGAGTAAACAATTTCTAGCCCTCCATCCAGGGGCAACTGTTGTAATGCCAAACCAACTGAATTTCCCTTTTCGCCTGGCAATTTTTCGCTTGGCTGCTGCACAGCTTTTTTTCTTTCGCTTTTCCAACAAAAAAACGGGCTGTCATTCAAGTGAAAATTGAAAATGCTGTCAATGACATGCGAGCAAATTGAAAACGCAACATGAACACTGCAAATGCCGAACTTCATCGGCCCTGATTTGATGACGTCTGATGGTGTTCGTATCTGGATTTTCCCACATTTTTCCGGTTTTAATTATCAAATTGGACAGCGCTCTGTAACTTTTCTGTATTTCTTTTTTTTTTTTGTTTTGGGTGGGGGGAGAGAATGTTGTTATCAAATACATATACTCAAATCAGCAGAGTGGACTTTCCCAACCAAAACACACGCCAGTGTACTCAATCAGATAATGATGTTGTCTAACTGAGGGTGAAGCTGATCCAGGTGGGCGGAAAATAAGGGGCGTTATAGTAAAGGTGGTATAGTGGTCGGTTTTCACTGTGTGGCCAGGGTCAGGGGTAGAGGCGATAGTGGATCACATAAACCACAACTGACATGACGTTTGACTGGCGTTTGCCTTGGGAGTTCCTTCATGTCCTTACTGCGAAACGTATGTATATATATATATATCAGTATATATATATATATATATATATGACCAAGAGTATATAAACATGAGCGTGTGCTGAATTATTTACGGTGTCACTGACAAAGTTTACGATGTCCACGACAGCAACAACAATAAGGTTAGACTTGGCTATTTGTTCAGTAAATTAAGAGTGTGCCATTTTTACGTATTTTTTACGCTGCCACAAGAGATGTTCTTGGGTTAGGGCTTGGGTTTAGGATTGGCGGTGTAACTGATACATGTGTGTGTGTGTGCTTTCTGCTCGATGAGACAATCATTATTAGTCAGCCCATGACAACGAAACAAATCACGAATACTACGCAAGCTTGGGCTTGGCCCCATGGCTCGTGTCTTTGCTCTGATTAGATGTCTTATCCGGCCCACATCCCTCTGCTAGGATTCCCACACTCGCCCACTCACACATATTTGTCTGAATTAGTTGGACACAATCATGTTCCGCATTGGAATTCTTTTCCTCATTGCAGTGTTCCTTGCTCTATGGCTTGGGAAGTTTGAGGAGTCGGAAAATGGAGAGAAAAACCAAGGAAAGTTTGTTCTTTTTTAGAGCTATTACAGGAGTCGCACATAATGGCAAGGTTGTCTAGATGAGATAGTGAAAACAATGATAATGATAACCATTATGACATGTAACCGCATCATGGAAAATGCGTTAATCTTTCTACTTACTAAAAAAAACTAAAATCTAAACAGATTTACCCATGAAACCTTGTCATATAAATATTTTAAATGTGCTTAAAACCATCAAACAAAAATCATTTGCCAAGCTAAGTGTGCTACATTTTTCTCTCTGCTAAAAACTGTTGCCCGCTTTAGAGGGCCATCAATTCGTTGGCCAAAGTTGGGCGACAAGTTCTACGTGACTGGGGGAAAGTTAGCGCCAAGTTTAGAGGCCCACAAATTGCCAGCGATACGACATTGACCAATGGGGCACAGACCTCCTCCACACAAATTAAAAATTCAAATTCGATTTTGGAGCAGGTGGGTGAACGGTTTAGCCTTTAGCCTGGCATGGCCAGCTTTTTCACGCTTTTCCCAGCTTACCTGAGTTGGTTCAGTTCGCTGCGCATGTCGGCATCCACGCTGGCCGTATTTGTGGTGAGCCGCAGGGATTTGCGCAGATTGTGCTCCAGCATCTCGTAATCCTCGCGGCGTCGTAGCATCAAAGCGTTGAGCTGTTTGGTTAGCAGGCGCACCTGATCGGCCATTTTTTTAGACTCCATTCCTGACCTCCTGCCATTCGATGTTGATGCTTCGATGGAGCTAAGATCCTCGCTATCCTCATCATCATCGACGAAACGTAATAGCTCGACACTGGATTCTGGTGCTTCCGTTTCCTGATTTATGTGCATGACAGGTTTCTCCGATGTCATCACCTTGGCATCGCGCAACATGTTGTTCACATCGCTAAGAACAACACCATTGCTGGCTGCCCCACTCACGATTGCCACAGAAATGTGAAGTATTACCACGGCCAACGCGATTGACCGCAAAACTTTTGAGCCTGCCATTGTTGCAGGGCAATTTAAATGCTCACGCGAAACTTTATTTTTGTGTTGTTTTTTTTCTTTTTTGGTTGGGTTTTGAAATGTTTGGCAATCTTTCATTCACACCGCGCAAAAAAAGGACTCAAGTTTAGATGGGCAATTTATGCAAATGACTGGCACGCATGCCGAAACACAAACGATTCCCGACTTCCCGGCGTCGTGTGAACGGTGAAACACCTTATAAAAAGGCGCTGGCAAACAATGTTACAATTATTCCTGCCTCGGGCTTAATCCTCTTTGTTTGGTTTAGCTGCTCTGCTTTTCACTTTTTGGTCCACGAAAAGTTCGCTCGAAGCACTGGTTTGAAGTAGCTCACTACATTAAGTTAGAGATTTTTCACCACAAGAAAGAATGTTTTCAACGCGGCGGTCTTCGAAGGACTGAAGCGGCGCGTCTTCGGCACTTCCTTTTATTCGCTACGACGTCACACGTTCGGCGTTACTCGGCAAACTTCGGCAGACGAGAGAGAGAGCAGTAAATAGTGTCATTTAGAGAGAGAGAGAGTGCTGAAGAGAGCACACACCTGCACGAAGTTGAGCACGAAGCATGCAACAAGCAAGAAAGAGAACCTGCAAAGAGAGTTCTTGGTAATAAGAGTAATTCAAATGACAGGCTAGACGTTAGATGTCCTTTTTGATAGATGGCTATTATCAAAGATCATATCTATGAGGCGGAGCAGTTCCTGTTCGTTTCCAAAAATAGAGAATGATAAGAGTTCAAAATGGCGGTCTAGTTAGCTGGTTCTTCTTTTTCGCACTCCTTTTTGCTGCCCCTGACACATGGCGCGGTTGCGGTGAGACTGCAACGAAAACAGACTGCAGCGAAAACGGCAGATGTTTTGGCCCCGTAGGCAGACGTAGAAGTGCGAAAACATGTTGACGTGCTACGAAAGTGCAAGGCGAAGAACCGAAAACCAGACGGAGTCTTAAAGCCGGCAAAACGGAGAATTAGGACTTGAAAGGAAAACCGTATCAATGGACAATGGAAATTCAGAAGGAAAAATCACCATTGTCTTGACATTTCTCGTAAGCAGCTGGAAAAACTCATACAATAAGGATATGCAGAGAAACTACCCTTATGGGTAATCAGATATAGACCACCTTCTAATAATGTCGGTGCTGCTTAGAGAGTTTAGTTAGGAAAATGCGGCACTAACAATGGAAGAGATTGAAAGCAGTTCTGGCTTAAAATAGGTAGTAGTGATGATGAAATAATGATCCAAGAATACTAACTAAGTAAGGGTCCTTTAAAAAGATGCATTTAACAATGAACAGAAATTACTAACGCTTAACTTACTATTTTAGAGATTATTAAACTTACTTTTTAGATCTAAAAAAACTTACAAAACCCTTTAAATCTCTTTTTACGCCTATATTTAGTTTTTTATAGCCCAGCATCATTCCCCTCTGCCTATCTCTATGTAAATCTGCTACTCCAACCATTCGTTTTGCTGATATTTTGCAGACATAAAAGCCGGAAAAGGTTTTAAAGTGCAAAGTTGGAATGCGGCTGGAAAAGTCACAGGGAAAAAAAGGAGCAGCTAGGCAATTGAATGGCTCGTAAGCCCACTAGCTGCATTGTTGCAATATGGATCCATCTGGGGAGGAGGGCTTTATCGAGGCCGAAATGTGTGTAAAAAAATATGCCAAAAATGCCGCCTTACGCACCGAAAAAAGCGCTGTAAGCTATGCATTTTTACTATTTTTTTGGGCCATCTATAAAAATAATAGGGGTGAGGTAGGGTCGGGGGTCAGCTGAATGGAATGCGCGCTTGGCTGAGCACAGAGAGGGGAGGCACGCGGAAATTGGTAGAAAAATGGGGTAAGAGTAACAACTGGTAGGGGGTGCAACAGTCTGCCATTGTTGGCACTTGCCCGAGTCGTGTTGCAATTTGCAATATTTTTATACACTTTCAATGGATTTTGCAGGCTTAAACAGAAGCAGGTTTATGAAATAATACTTAGTACAGTAGTATTAAATATTAATATAAATGTTACTCAAAAAGTAAAATAAAGAAAAAACCATTGGAAAATTTCTTAAAACTACTTTTTATATAATCTTTTTATAGGAAAGATAATAGATTTGTGCTTAACTTTCGTTCACAAACTGCTTGGAGTATTTACTAAAGATATGAGTTTTTTATTAAATATTTTTAGCATTCCCTTTCCTTTAGAGTATTAAAACCTTCGGTGTTAGTACCTCTTATTATGTCTTACTTGTATTATTTCGTCGTTTTTCATTTTTACTTGTTAATGTACTGCTAGCAGAAAGCGTTGGTCAGAAAAGCAGAGGACAAGCTGTTGGCCAGCCCCTTTGTGGTGGCCATCATCAATGGATGTGGCTGCATAATCAAGCGGTGGCCACATGCACATCCATGCCACATACACTCATCCAGCCAGCCAGGCAGCCAGCCAGCTAGCCATCAGACTGAGCTGTTTGCATATTTTGAGTGGACGCAGTTTAGTTTTTAATTTGATGCCTTTGTTTGTTGTCATTCTGTTCTAGCTTGTTGCACACGGCAAAAATGCGAATGGGTATGGGGGATGTTGCACCTGGGAGTGGTGGCTGCTGCCGACATTTGCATGGTATATAGTATCCCCTTGAACCAGTTGCCCTCCCCCCCCTTCATCAGAGCAACCATAGCCCACCCCATTTGGTGCATTTGTTTCATTGTCGCCCGTTATATTGTTGGCTTTTATGCAGGGAAATGTGGCTGGAAATGGCAGCGAATGGCTCACGTTATGGTCAGCATATTAAGGTAATGGCCTGGAAAGTCTGTTGGTGCTCTCTACAGTTCACTCCCTGAATTGGTATTAAATGTGAGCAAGGCATGGCATGGCATGGCATGGCATGGCGTGGCGTGGCATGGGACGACTCGAATCGAGTTCAAATTTCATTTGCACTCATATTCGATGGGGATTTCAACGGTTGCTCCCCATTGAACGCTCCTTTGAGGTCTCAGGCAGGTGCTAAAAGCAGGTACTCCATGCGATTTGATGGTCTACTAGTGGCATTGTTCTTCCCAATTGCACTTATACTAAAAACAAATCACTTTATGTAATAACCAACTTGGTTAGGGGATTTTATGTTGAAGAAAACAACTTTAAGACTTTATAAATTTAAAGAACAAGAAATGTATATTTACTTTATAAATATCTTAAAATAAATTCCACAATCAATGCTGGAATGCGGGAGCAGGTGTCTCTTATCTGACCATTGACCAGTTCGTGTCCTTACTGGCTATGGGCAGATGATGAGGGCTCATCAGGCTGGCTTAAGGCTTTGTTGATTCTACATATTGTGCATACGAGATGACGGCTTGAGCTGAGGACAGGTTTCGGTTAAGAGTCATGCAACCAGAAGAAGCACGCAGCCACGCACGCGATATATGTCCATCTCTTTTTTTTTTGGTTGCCTTTTTCGAAAATATCTGACCAAAAAGCGATCGAAAAGAACGCTGCGCAGGCGCAGTTCCAAGCTGAGCACTAATCATCTGAGTGACAACGGCTGCAACAGCTGAGGTAACTTGGCCAGAAGGAAAACAGAACAAAAAACCGGCTGCTGCCGCTGCTGCTAACGGCAGGTGCAAAAAATTTACCACTCGAACGAAAATTTCCTACCTGATTTAATCTGCTGCTGCTGTAGTTGTTTCTTTTTTTTTTACCTTTTTACTGTTGCAGGCGGCTGGTGTTGGCTCTGTTGCTGTTGCTGCTGCTGAGGCAAGGCTTCGCTACGTGTTGTTTCATCAACTTTGGGACTTGTAGCCATTGGCATGGTGTGGCATGTTGCCGGCATGCTCCGCTGATCACACACACATACACACTGGCGAACAACACACACACTCTCACATATACTTTTGCTATCACTCAAGGCTGTTGCTGCACGGCTGCCTCCGTTTTAACCATCCACTTTGGTGGCTTTTCCTTGGCAACACCAACGCACCAGCTATGCCACTGTCTGTGGTCTCCGCCGCTTTGCTTTCGCACACTCTTCGCGGAGAGAGTGAATAAAAGTGAAGGGGAATAGAGAGGAGGTAGAGAAGGCTAGGGAAGAGGGTGGGCAAGAGGATGAAGAGCGGGTGCACGCATTGACAGACCATAAAAACAATCCCTAGAAGCCATCAACCGAATGAGGGCTAATGCTGCCATTGACCAACATACGAGAAACAAAAACAGTTTAAAAGGAGAAAGAAAGTAAGACGACCTTGAGATACCCTGGGATTTTGTATAAGCGTCTTTAATAACTTTATTTTATGATTTAATCAATCTAAAAAAAGTAGTATTTACGAACTGGAGTATATATTGAGTTATTATAAAAGTCTCTTATTACATAAGTTAGCAAGCAATGTATCTTCTTCTTAGGTATCATTCTAAAATAGCATTTCCCAACCAAGCATAAAAGTTAAATTTAGTACAAACAATAATAATATCCCATCTACCCATTCTAAACCCTAAGTACTACTTACAAAAACAGAGACTGGCTGGCAAGATGAAGCGTAGAAGCAGCGAACCGGCAGCGACAGCTGCAGACACAGATGCAGATACAGATACATCTACCAGATACATCAACATCCCGCAAGCGGAGAGCATCAGGACACAAGGACACATCGAGAAGCGAGCGGGACGGGGAAACTTCCTAGAGTCTTTTGTGACTTCGCAGCTGTCGTTTCTGTGGACTCCTCCCCCGCGACAATCAACAGATTTCGGTTTTCGGATTTGGGTTTTCAGCCACTTGGCCGAACCATTAATGGACAGGCCAAAGGACCTCGCAACAGTTGCAGCTCCTTATGTCCCATCCTATTCCTTCCTATTCACCATATCTGACTCTCCCTCGCTCTCGTTCCTTTGCCACCAGCAGGAGGAGCAGGACGAATAATGACGAGGGACAGGCGAACGCGTAGCGTATTTGGTGTGCATCGAAGGTGCTGGGATATGCAGCTGTCAGGTTCCTCCGGGGCATTCATTGTCCTGCTCATAGTCCTTTGCCCATCGTCCTTTGCACCCTAATAACGAATGCCGAAGCGTGTCAGATTTGCGAGTGATGAACTGCGTTAACTGGAAATTGACAGGGCGGCCCATTGAGAGCAGGCATCTTCCTGGTTTTTGTTACCAGTTTTAAGGGCCATGTTTAAGGAAACTTCAAAGAATTTTAAAGATCTAGTTGGCCATGGGTGGGCCTGTTTGGTTAGCTGGAAATGTGTGAAATAATTAACAATTTGAGGTATTTATTAGTAAGATTAGCTATGCTAAGATATATAAATCGAACTAATAGGAGCTTATATCTGATTTCACTGAAAAAATAAAACAAGTTTAATACAATTTTAAGTACACAAAATTCGTATTTCAAGCGGATTTTTGTTATGTATAATTCCTAAATTTATTAATATCACAGAACATTGGTAAACCCATTATATAGATTGATATTCCTGCTGCCATAGTTATTTATAGGTCACTTAAGCTATAACAATTGGGTTCACTTTCTGTTCTTTATAAATAATAAATACCCAACAAAAACTCCTGACAGTTGTGAACATTTTTCAGCAAGCATTTTCCCTGAACCACAATTCAACCTTGTTGAATTTCCCACACACTTTAAAGTTTTCGCCGCCGTTCATTACTCTTAAATGGGAGTTAAATTGAGGACAATGACAATCAGTCGAGGAGAAAATTCCAGTGAAAAAGGACTCGTGAGGTTCGGGGCATTTAAGCTGTTAGCAGTTTTACAGCTCAGGGCATTTAAATCACGACCCTCACAAACCATCAGAGAAACAACAAAAACAAAAAAAAACAGTAAAAAACAGCGAAAAACATTGCGAAAGAGTTAATAACAAGCTGTAAACAATGCCTCACCCGCCGGCAACTTCTCAATCCCAGCAATTTTCGACGAAATATTGAACAAAAAAAAATGAGAAGCAGAGAAGGACAAGGGAAGCAAAAAATTCTCAGTTGCTCTCGATGCTGTGTCCAATGCACAGATGTCGCTCAGATTACGAACTTAATTGCCCCAGTGCAGGATATGAAACCCCAGACCAGACCCAGAACCAAAACCCAAACCCAAACTGAATCCCATTCCAATCCCTGAACGCTGCACAATAAAAAGTGGAATTCAGAGGGCAACAAAAACGCAGAAAAAAAGGAGAGAGAGAATAGCACATGACTAGCCCAAAAACTGCAGGCCAGAAACAACGGCAAAACTGGCCAAAATGCCTGGCTCTCCGACATTGAATGCGAAACATTTCAGTTAACTTCTGTTCGGGCCCTTGATGCCTTTAAACACAGTCCCCCATCTATGTGAAAATGCCAGCTTGTGTGTGGAAAACGGCTTTTGCATTTTTAAAGTCGTTGGCTCTACCGGAATCGAAATCGATTCAATTGATATCAAGTTGAAGTTGTAATTCCCCTGGAATAGTCCAGCCAATAATTGGGGATTTCAAAGGGCAATATTTTTATTTATTTAAAAATCGGACGACTATAAGGGATTTGCTTTCAGGTTTCGATATCCCTTTCATGTCAAAATTTAAGTGCCCATTTATTCTGATATGCAAAAATATGTTCGGCTTTTTAGCTGCTCTTAACTAATTTATGTTTTAAAAACCTTAAGTATTGCGGAAAGTGTTCATCTGCTGTTGTCATGATTTTCGGTGAGAAAGGTCAGTAATTTACCCTTTACAACTATCAAAATAAATAATACATCGTTAGACTTGGTTTTAAATTTATTTATTTATTTACTTTTTCATAAATGTGAAAAAATGTGAATTTCCGATCAAAAAGTTCGAATTTTGCTCATAATAATGCCAAAAATTGTGGAAACTTGGAACTTGGTATCTCGTCCAGTTTGTTATACTTTCCGATAATACTGCATTCACACCTAAAAATGTTGATAATGTAACTCCTTACAAAAATGCGAAAATTGACCATTGAAAATGGACATTTGAAATGTTCCAAATCAATCGGAAAGTCATAGAAATAGTTGGTTTCGCTGATGGTTGCTAGCTGCATAAAAGAGTTTTTCCCTTAGGTGTATGCCTGGTTTTGACTATTATATAGGCTATAAACCTAGGAAAAATATGGAGAATATTACTTAAGAATTGTTATTTATATTTATCCTCAAAAAAGCCAGTATTTTGCTCATAACAATGCCAATATTAGTCGGAACAGAGAATGTCATATCTCGTTGAGGTTGTAATTAAATTTCTTATAGAACTGTGTTCACCTTAAAATATCAATTTTTGGCCTTATTTTGCAAATTTTGATGAAAATCAAATCAAAAATGAAAAAATTGGCCGAAAAAGTGAATTTTCATAATCAGTCATAAGGTGATAGGGACAGTTAGTTTGGGTGCAGCTAACTGCATAAAACAGCCTTGCCGAAGTCACTTGTTTGGGTATGTTTTCCAATCCGAGTTCTTAATGAACTTACTTTTACTTTTCAGAGGTCACCATCGTTAACAGATAGATTGTATAAAAAATTTTAATAATAATTTTTTATCCCTGAAACATATTGATTTATAAACTTCGGTTATAAATTTGTTTTAAGCTCACCCTCACTGTTTTCTTCTTCTCAAAAACTTGTACCCTTTAAAGTTCAAAGAAATTGCTTGTTTTGCGGTCTATTTGTGAAATTTTTAGGGGGAAGAAATCCCCGTACATCGAATCGATTTCGAGTCCCCCTTTGAAAAAGAAAACACAAGACATACCAGATTTTGCTGTGGCTTAAAGCCCTTTATTTTGTGGGGGTCTTATCGGCATTTTGCGAGCTGCTTGAATGGCTCCTTTGCAGTTGAGCCTGCATTTCGAGCCTTTGTTTCGGCCACGTAAATCTTTTCAATTTGAATCAACCTAAGCGTTTGTCATTTTGACTAATGGCTTATCAAACAAACACAAACAAACAAACGGCCCCGTCGAGCCAAAAGACCGAAAAGATGTTTGACAAAATTTATTGTATCGTAAATTACGCATAAGAAAAAGAAAAGTTTATAAAAAAAAACGCAAAGAAAATAAAGGGGGTTACAAGTGAAAGCTGTTGGTTGAAGGCTAAAACTTTGCTAGCTTAGAGCTCGTAAATTCTTTCGAGAATTTATGCAAACTTTCGTTTCTCATGACGATTGCTTGGGGCTGGGGTTACTGTCTCAACGTCATGCCAAATCTAGTGTTGATTCGCTGCAGGAATGCCCCTAATGACCGCCAGTCAGTGGGGTCATGCACACGTATTTAGAAAACCTTTTTTCGGGGCGTCATTATAAATTAACAATGCCACGACGACCGGGGCACAAATATTTCAGCGTGCAACGACACCGAAAGCACAGAAAATAGAGAAAGAAAATACAGAGCACAAAATGATGGAGCATTTACCGCTCCTCGAACAATAAAAGTCGCCGACTGAAGCAAAGGAGCTGGCTGGATCTGGAATAGAAGGAGCCGGTCCAGAGGAAGGAGCCGAAGTTGGCCTAAGGATGACAAAAGTTTCCGTTGTTGTTTGCCCACCCACCTTGTTGCTGCATTGTGTCAACTGGTCGCTCCACTTAGTCCTACTCATGCTCTTCCTTCTCCACCTTCTTGCTATCCTCCTTCTTGGGATCTCCTTTTTGCCTCCTACAAATTTCCTCCCCCCTTTGGGCATATGAAACATTTTCTTTGGGACAAGGAAATATGAATTGCGTGCCAAAGAACGAAAAGCAGCTAAGGACGAAAGAAAAGTTTCGCTCAGCTTTGTTTCGTTCTGTTCTGTTCTTTTTGTGCCTTCTTTTCCAGCTTGTTTTCGGGTGACTGCTGCACTGAGAGAAAAATCAGAATAGTTGGGCAGGAAAGTACTTTAAGTAATCTTTACCTCAGGGTAATACCTTTAGATAAGACAATTATCTATAACAAATCTTTAAGATATGACTCACATCCCATTTTGATAACTCATTTCTCTCGGTGTAGTTAAGGTCTTATTGTTTTTCTGCCTTCGTGTGCTATTTTGGAGCTCTGCTGCTGGTTCTGCTTTTTTTGTTTGTGATTTATTTATTTTGTTGTTTGCCGCTTTGTTGTCACTTTACGCTTTTATTGTATGCCACCCACCTTCCACCGTTCACCACCCATCACCCACCTGAAGACTGGCAAACAGCCCACATCGAGTATACGCCTCGTTGTGTACAGCTAAGCAAGAAATCATAAAGTTAAACTTTTCTTATTACCCCCAATCGTGGACTTTTGTGTACTGGGCGTCCTGGGCGTATCATTACAGTCATTTGAGAACCACTAAGCTGCTGGGATAATGAGGAGTCACTTGCTATTTGCCGTGTGAGATTACCATATATATATATATATATATATATATATATATGTTTATATAACAAGGTAACCAGATAACCTCGAAGCGACCCATCATCAATTGGAAGTCAAATCATAAGCCGGAAATCGTTATACATATCACCTGCTGCCAACTACCGCAGGAAGCGAAGGAAACAAATGCCAGGATCAGAGTGAAATGTGTATGTTTGCTTGAGGTTTCCTCCCCTCATATCCGTTCGATTTTTGCTTAAAAGAAATGCGGCCGAGGATAACGACTCTCGACTCCCGATTCACGATTCACGATTCCCGATGCTTTGAATTCTGAATGCCTGGCAGTCAGCTGCCAGGTTGGTTTCAGTCTCGGTCTGAGCATCTTGTTTCCGTTTGCAAATAAAACATATGCTTACCCCATCCTACAATGCTGCTTTTTATACCTGACATTCCCCCTTTTCTGTGCTTTCTGCTCCTTTGGTTTGCATTCATTTCGTTTCTGCATATTTCCTGTATTTATTTCAATGGCTTAAGGGCCCGACAAGGATTCCGCACATCCATCCATCCATCCAACCAGCCAGCCCCGTCCATCTGTGTATCCATCCATCCGGGGCTCACTGTCAAGTGGCTTGATTTTTATTTATTTTTAATTATTAAAAATTGTAAGGAAAATATTGCGTGGTAGAAACAAAGAGAGAACGGGAATTGACACAGAAATCACTTTTTGTTGACACTGAACTTTTGATTTATGCGTGAGATGGGGACAAAAGGGACGATTGTGGCACGAAGTGTTCGGGTGGTGGCAAGGACTGTGGAAATACCGCATGTGCAACGGCAACTTCATCAGTTGAAATCAGTGTGTGCAAGCTGGCATGTTGCACATTGTACGAGTACTGCAACCAGAGATGGGAAGTCCCTTTGAGTACAATTATTGTTCATTACTGGAGAATTGTTTCTGTTTATATAAAATCCGATCAAAATTAATCAATAAGTCACAGGAAAATGTATTTATAGAATTTTTATTTAACAATGAATTTGTTTCCACATGGGCAAGAGTTCTGTTCGACGGATCGTTTGATGGCTTCCTCTGGGATCCCATGGATCGATGTAATTCTTGATGATCCTTGCAGCTTTCTTTCCCCAAATGTTTGTCGCCAACGAATCACTCTATTTGCAATCTGTGGAGGTGCTGCTCTCTCAAGCCCATTGGGTTATCGGTAGGAATACTCCCTAGTTCCTCCCGTTCCGATTCAGTTTATTGAACGGCGGCAGTTTTGGATTGCGTCCCACGTTAAACCGTGAATGAGTACCCAAGAGCCTTTCTATCTGGCTTTAAAGGAGATACTCCAAACCACAGTTCCCGGGACTCATTTACTCATTATTATTCTCATCATAGAATAAGCATGAGTAAAAGCGCCACGCAAAGGGAGGCAAACCTAATCTGCCGCCGATCAAGAAACTAAACCGGAAACGCGAGGAAATAGCGAGTATTCTTTCAGATCAACAAACCGACTTAAGTAGCCCCCACCTCAGATTCCAAAGAGAAGGACCCGAAAGCGGCAAACAATTGCCAAGAAAGCTATATCCTCTTGATATCCATGTTAGTCCAGGAAGGATTATTAGCTTTGAACTCTGTAATGTATATAAAATTAAGAAAAATTAAAATAATTAGTATATACGAATAGGATTACCGGCGTAGGTCCATCCAATCGGTATCACATAAATCCGAGGTTTGACATTCTTTCATTCCGACGTTTCTAAAAAAAATCAAATGAACAGGTAAGGAAATTTTAAGACAAAAATTTCTTACAATCACTTCCAAACGAACAGGGAGAGCTCCTTACCAATTAGCCGCACGAACAGGAATGAAAATCGTAGGACTACAGTTTAATGTAATTTCATCAAACGAACTTGACAAATAATTCTGAGGCACTTTGATTGTCAGTCCGAACGAAATACCGAAAAGCAGTGTTGTCAAGAGGTCTAAGGGAAAATATTTGGTATATACAAATAAATTAAATTGTATAAATTTGGAAAACGAAGACTAAAAACTGATGTGGTTTGATCAAACCAACTTGGCAAATAAGTCTAAGGGCACTGATTTTAATTCTGTAACCGTATATTGAACGCAGAGCTCCTTGAAAATTAAAAATTTACGAAAAATTTAAGAATTTTTATTTCTGTACCGGAGAACTCCTTTTACAAGGAACAATTTTTTTTTTGATTTGATCAAACGGGTATTTACGGTATTTTATTTATTCTGAACCGGCTCAGCTCCGAACTGGATCAGGAAGGTTTCTTTTTAATAGGATAATATTTGGTATATATTTCTGTACCGGTACACGATTACACTTTTATCGGGGAGCCGAACAGAAACGAAAGAGAGAGAGAGCTTTTAGTGGTGGGAAAAATATATACCAATATATATATATATATTTTTATATATTTTATATAATTCTGTACCCGTAATTTAAACGCGGAGCTTCCTGAAAATAAGCCACACGAACCGGCAAGAAAATCGCGATTCTTGTTCCGAGGGCTTATAGGGGAAACCTTTTTTCTGCCGCACGAACAGGAATGACTAAAATTTGACGTGATTTGATGAAACGAACTTGACAAATAAATCTGAGGTCCTTGAAATTAAACCACACGAACCGGCAAGACAGACTAAAGACTATATATACAGACTATAAGTAAGGCACTTTGATTTTCATTTATGTAGGTTTCTTTCTAATAATAACAAATATTTGGTATATACGAATAAATTTAACAATCTTATATATTTCTGTACCGATACAAAATTGTGCGTTTAATTTTGATCACTTTTAATATTTTATATATTTCTGTACCGGTATTGTTAGGCCGACCGAAAAACTCTTATCGGGGAGCTCCTTACACGTAAGCCGCACGAACAGGAATGAAAAACTAAGACTAAATATTGATGTAGCTTGATCAAACGAAATTGGCAAATAAGTCTAAGGCACTGTGATTAAAATTAACACAGAATTCCGAAAAAGGAAAAGAAAGTGTGATTCGGCAAACAATGGTTTTCTGGCAATTAATATATATAATTTTGACATTTTTGAAATAAATTTAATAGGGGAATTATAATTTTACCTAGTACCTCTTTTCAAAAGTTGACCGCTGTCATCACTGACATGAGCCCACAAGCCCTCAACTTGCCACCCACCCACACGCACTGCTGAGCAGGCAAAGGATGTCGTTGGGATGGAAGGATGCTGGGGAGTGGAACGTTAGCGGGTTGGGAGGGAGGTATGATGGAGGCGGCGAGCCGGCAGCCAGGACATGCAGGACCGCATTGTCCTGTCAGCGTCATTGCAAATGAAATATGAACAGGAGCCATGTGAAAAGTGCGGACACTGAACGCCAGTCTGTGTTGTTCATTTCCAGGATTGCCGCACACACCTGGCAAAGCGGCCGCAGCCACACACACTCCCCGTCACCCACCCATTTGTGTTGTCCTTGAATGCGAGAGAAAGCGGCAAATTGCATGCGGTGCCAACGATGGAATCATTTAAAATGTTGCATCCGAAATGAATTGACTACGCCGCCGGCCACTCCGGATTTTCCGCCTCCTCATTTGTTTTGGCAACCGCAATTTAAACGTTGACAGCCAGGACATGCTCTGAGTCCTGGGTGCCAGTGGGTGCCATTGGGTGGGTGGCAACATACAACGAACAAAAAAAAAAAAAGGATTCCAGACAAACGACTGAATTATGGTTGAAGTGGACAGAGTAAATCGCTATTTAGCCCGTGGCTTCATCGGGATTGGCTCAATTAGTTGGCCATCCTGCGTTGGTTAATGTCCGCAATTTTAAGCGGCCTTTCATTTTTCGCTTATTATATTTATATTCTTTTTATTCTTTGTTTTCTTTTTCACTCTCTTTTTTTATTACTGGCCACACGCAAAAAGTTCCACTTCGTTAAGCAAAAAAGCGGCCAAGCGGGAATTTTATTGGGGTGCCAAAAGGACTTGACTTGTCATGTTTTTCTAGGGGGGTGGTGTGCGGGTGGATGGCAGGGGGTTACGCACACAGCAAACACGCAGACAGTGTAAACTCTGCTGGTCTAGCTTTGAGTACAGTCGATTTCTTGTTTGGCTTTCCCCATCTCAGCGATTTTTCCTCTCGGACCTCCTTTGGTATTTCCTCTTTGTCCTCCTCCTTAACCTCCCCATTTTTGCTGATTTACTGAGAACAGCTCCTCGTGATGTCCATAAAATTGTTACGAAATAAAATCAATATAATGTGCAAGTTATTCTCATCAAATTTAAAGAGCTTGTTATTCAATTTCCCATTTGACAATGACTGGATAATAGAATTAATTTGAAATTGAAAATGGAAATGGAAATGTGGGTTTTCTAGGGAAAATGTGTAAGTGAATTTCAGTAGCGCAAACTTTCTTGATCTTGTTTTGAGATGGTTTCAATATTTAATAAGCCGATTTATGGCAATGGCCCAGAGAAAGTATTAACTTTAAGCTGTCCCTTAATTTGCAGTCTTAATTTCCTATAAAACCACGTCAGCCTCCTACTGATTCAGTAGTTTTAAACAATTTTTATTGGATAATCACCCCTATTTATGCGTAACCATCTGCCACCTAAATACTTTCATCTGCTTTCCAATTTGTATTTTTTGCTGCTAGAGTTTCAGGTTGCAGATCCTATCGCGCAATCCAACGGTTGCTTAATTAAAATGAAGGAAAAAAGCGGACACGAAAGACTGGCAGATCACATAGCCAGGACCCAGGACCCAGGACCCAAAAAGGAGCAACCCCTAGCCAAGCGAGGACGAGGAGTAGCAGCTGCTCCCTGGAGCATTGCTTTGGACTTGCTTGAATCCGTACAAAAGTCCCCCTATTTATGTTTTTTCTTTCTTTTTTTCTTTTACAGTCAACGGGGCAAGCAGATGCGCCTGGTGGCTTCATTAAAATTAACAAAACTTAATTGCAGCTTTCGTGGCACGAAACATGCTGCAAATGCGTGTTCCAATCTGTTTGATGGCCAACACAACCGAAAAGGGGAGCCCAGCACCTGCTGGTGATGATCGTCGGGGCTGGCTGCCAAACAATTTGATATATTGCCTTCTGGGGTTGATGTTGATCCTGATCCCGGGGATCCTGGCAGATTGCAGCTGCAATCGGGGAATTGCATAAGAAATGACAAAACAGATATATTGGTTAAAAATAAGGTTTATATATTTGGTTCGTTTTGGCTTTCTAATGCATATCTTAGATCAATAAGGATTAAAGAGCCTTTCGCTTAGATTCTTTCTTTTATGACCTTTCAGATTCGTTCCCTAAAATTATAAAACTATAAAACCATTAATTTATGACCAATTCTTAGCAAGTACTTTCCTCCTCCCCATTTGTTGTATTATTTTTCATCAAAAAAATAAGTTAACTCCAGTTTGGTGCCTTGTTAAATATGCCAAAGTCGTTTACCTGTCGATGCCCGTAATTTCAGGTGCAATTTTGAACTTTTGGCATGTCGACATTTGCATGCCACCCCAAGCTGCCTCCCCCAAACAATTACCCAAAGTGTACCCAAAGTTCATTGGGCCCCGGCGGAAATTCAATTCCTTCCAATGCCAACTGTCATTTGTCGCCGTTTGGTGCAGCGGGGGCAGGTTGCCAAAAGTCGAGGGCAACTTTTGCAAAACTGCCATCAATTTCGGTGGTCAGGCTGGCAATTAATTGAGGGGCCCATGTAACCACCGCTTGAGCTCCCCCGACCCCAAATCATATTCATAAATTGCCGGGTCACACTTGTGGCCAACTATTAAACATAGCAGCAGGCGGATGATTGGAGCAGGGGAGCAAAAGCAGGAACAGCAAAAGGAGCAGCCAGCCAGCCAGCCAGCCAGCCGCCTTGTGTGTGGTCAATGGTCGAGTGTCGGTGGTTGGTGGTCTGCGGTATCGATATCCTGCCACCAACAGCAGGACAATAGCAGTTGGTGTGCCATTTGTTTGAAGTGTGCCTTCGATAAGCGTCTGTTGGTCAGTTGACCAGTTGACCAATTTAGCCAGTTGGTCAGCGGCCGCCAGTCCAGGGTGATCCGATCTGATCCGATACGATCCGGTTTCAAAACAAAAGTTTATGGTTACACTTAAAGCTCACCCATCTGGATGATGATTAAAGGTTAGCAGGGGGCAGGAGTTGCTGTACCATACACCATAAGCAGCAAGACCGCTCGCATAATTCCCGCATTAATGATGTCGATTTCAATAAAAACAGCCAACATTTTATGCTCCAGCGAGCGCATTTTAATGCGAAACTCAAACATACACGAGATAAAATAAATATAACTCATACGCCCCGTGTGCGGTGGCCGGGAACCTTCGAAGGAGGCATGAGGCAGAATGAGCACCAGTAGCAGCACACCAGTAGGGAACGTCAGCAGGAGTCCTTAGCAGTCTCAGGGGCAGTAAAAACAGCAGCTGCCGGGCGCTATTTCCTCTTCGCAGCGGAGCAATGCGTGACCAATCCGAAAGGGGTCGCAAATACTGGGCCAACTTCCATGTAAAACTGCTGCAGATACTGCAGGCATGCACTCAGAGAAATAACTAGTGTATTTACACACATTTTTATACCTTTGAATGGAAGCTTTGTGCTGCAAAGAGAGAAGTAACTTTTATTAAATCTTCTTCTCAGGTAATAAAACGGAAATGCTCATAGTTTTAAAAATTTCTCTCAGTGCCTTTAAGAGGAAGAGAAGTGCAAAACGAACTGGCAAAAGTCCGTTGAGTCCATTATATAAATGCTCTTTTAATAATAGCTTGGCTAGCGGTAAATGGTGTCGTATTTGCTCTCTCTGTCGCACTGTATTCCCCTCCCTGTCTCAAGTATTTGCATTCTGCATAATGTGCACTGACCCAGTGTAATTTAGATAAGCGGATAAGCCCCGGTCCGGAGTAAACTAATTAAGGATTACACTTTGGCCATATGCGTTTATGGTTTTTGCCCTGTTATTTTTCTACCCGCCGGCCGTCAATCAATCAATCAATGTAGATCAATTAGTGCCATTAATTCGACATTAATCATTGAGAATCTGCGGCAAAAAAAGTTCATCTTGTTCTGTGTTAGTTTTACTCGTTGGTTAATTAAATTTTACTAGGGCGCTAAGGAGATGAAGCAGCTTTCCACGGAATCCCTAAATAAATATTTAAGTGTTTGCTACATGCTCATTTTTAAAGTGCATCTTGTTTATTCACCCTCAGTTGGCTGGCTGCACTGGGAAAATTAGTTGTAAAATCGAAATATAGAGTGTCATGTACCGTTGAGCTCCTTGTTTAATTTCTAGTCAACTGACTTTCCCACCTTGAAATACACATTTTGTGCCGTGTTTGCTAAATTTGATGATGGAACTCCTTATCAAAAATGCGAAAATCGTTAACATGATTTCCGTCCAAAAAGGTCAGTATTTTACTCTTAACAATGCCAAAAGTGGTCGGAACAGAGAATGTGATATCTCGTTGAGGTTTTTAATAAAAACTCTAATATAACTGTATTCACACCTAAAAATGTAAATTTTTGGCCTTATTTTACAAATTTTGATGAAAAAAATGCGATCGAAAAGGCGAAAATTGACCAAAAAATTGTTTTTCCAAAATCAGTCAAAAAGTCATAGGAATTGTTTATAGAGGGTATAAGCTATATATAGAAGTACGTTTTACGTTTGACGCCCTCTTATTGGCCGATAATGTTGAACGAAATATTATATTTTTGGCTAAAACATTTACTCTGAACAGTGTTTCCCTTTTGTCATGCTTTTTTATTAATCCAGGATTGCTTATAAAAGGCTTCCTCGTGATTTCACATCTTAAAAATGAACACAACTAAAAAGTTTAGTAAAATGTTCCACTTTTTCGCCAGTGTAAATCAAACATTTTCGCTTGGTCCTTCTGCATTCCCCTGCTGGTCCATCGCCACCAAAACGGAATATCCTGGTCCTTTTCGTCTGGCCTTTTGCATAAGCAAATACGCGCAATTCACAAACACGTGACGCTTGTTTTTTCCGCCTGCCCATCCCCGCCGATCTACTTCCAACCCAATGCCCCCAAAAACAGGGGGGCCATGAATCCCAGAGTGAATGACTGAGTGAGTGACTGGCAGAGTGAGTGACTGTGAGAGTGAGTGAATGATGGCTGGTGACCAGTTCATGGTTCAATGACAAGCAACTTTCAGTTTGCGTGTGCTCGTCCTCAGTTCCCTTCTGGTTCGTTTCGTTTTGTTTTGTTTTGTTTTGTGTGTTGTGTGTGCTAACTGACTGATTCCCTCTTGCCCCACCTTCCACCAAAATCACCCACATCAAACCACTGTTTTTTATGTTTTTGCCAGCGGCTATTTGTCTGCGGTTTTGTCACTCCCTCGAAAATGAAACACCCACCTGACTGCCCTTTTTTTTATGGCCACTGTCCTGCTTTCTGGCGGGACAATCGTTTAATTATGTACAACATTTGGGCCGACGGGAAGGAGCTTATGTACTCGGTCCGGATTGGGCCACAGGACAATTACTGAATTTGCGACACAATTCGCAGAGATGTCCTCGGACAAACATTAAATGACATATCACATTTATTTCTCTGCACTTTTTGATTTGCCGAACCTAATTCCGTTTTTTCTGAGTCATCATTTTAGGTGATTTAACATTCTATTAGAAAGGTTTTTATTATAAGAATAAAGTCATAGTTCTTCTTTAATTTAGTTTAAGAATGGAAACAATTCAACAATATGAAACATTTTATACTATCTTAACTTTACTCGTATCATACTCCTTCTCTTAAACCTCCTCAGTTGCCAACATAAGTGGCCACTATAAGTTGACTTTTCGCACTTGTTCAACAATGTCGGCAATTACACAACTCTCGATTACATTTGGAGCAGCAATTAAATCTAATCTGAAGAGTATTTATGGACAATATTGACAAGCATTGTTGTAATTTTCCCCTGTTATCCCTCCCCACCATCACTGACCATTTTCCAATTACGATTGTGATATAAGTTGAGCACGCCAAGTTTGAAACATCAACACTAATTCGCTGAGGGTTGAGTTAGTGGGTGGGTGGAGAGCTCTCTGAACTCTGTAATTATCGGAAAAGATATTATTCGGATTGGATCATATAAACATAACACTACCGATTTATGGTATTTGCCTGAGGGCACCGCTCATATAACAAAGCATTTGCATAATGAGTTGGCCGTTTTTATGAGCCCTATAACCTTTGTCACTTGCCACTTGCCACTTGCCACGTGACGCAGAAATGTGTTAAGCAATAAAGGTCGAGTTTTATCCAGCAAACGGAAAATGGAAAATGGAAAAAGGAAAAGCGGAGGCGAGTTGCCCCACGCAGACAAAGTTAATTGAAAATGGCTAAGGTACGGCAAACGAATTCCTTCAGCAGCTTTGGCATTTTATTTGCAGGCATATTTGATTACGGGGCTCCTTTTCATATCAGGTGTCAAAGGATTTTCAGGAAGCCATCGTCGTTTCTAGCCAGGAACTTTTTAGCATTTCCATGTCAAAGCATTGCTGGAAAAGCTATTGAGAACCGTTTCGCCAGCTGCAGACATTGCATCAGTTTCCCCTTAAATGCATCTTCGAGTGCTCAAATCTGGTTGAGATGGCTGACAACGGGAGGGCAAGAGAAAGGATGCGAAAAGGATGAGGCATCCTGGCAGGTCGCAGCTCTCTGCGGCGGACACGTGAAACCATCATCAATCTGGGAGCACTGGCAACGACAGTTTTAACGACTTCTTGCGGATTACTTCAAACAAAATAACCACTTTGTAGTAGGAATTTTATGTCGGCCCGGTTGGTGTTGATGGCTTTGGCTACGATGAGATTCCGCTGCATTTGGCCAAAGTTTTGCTGCGTGCCGCAAAGTTTACCCATCCTCCGTTATCCGAGAATCCCCATGGCCAACTATCCGCAGTGCAAATTGCAGGACTCGCACAAGAGCAACAGCCGCAGGCGGCGGGGGAATAAATATTTATTGATACTGCAGCCACGTGGCATAATTTGCCTATAACCAGATGCAGTAATTTTGGCCAAGCCACCCAATCTTCCCTTCTCACTTTTAGGGCCCAGCTCTTTGGGGGTTTTGGGTAAGTTACTTGGAAACTATTGAATAAGTGTTTGTTCGTTGCCAAAACAATCTCTGGCTCTGTAATTCAATTTTCCACAAGAATATCTTTTTAAAATGTTTAGTAAAGGGAAAACAATTGAATTATAGCCCTCCTTTGGGCTTGTTTCTGTGTTAAACGAAGAGCAAACTAAACTTAAACAGGCATTTCCACCTCAATATATTCTAAATTGAAATTACCTTCAGGCAACTTTAGTTATCCCCATGTAGAATATCAGTTAATTTATAGCTTTTACTAAAAAAAATAAGGTTTAAATTAAATTTAAATGTGTTCGAGGACCATGATATCGAAATAAATTACGTCATGTTTGAGCATAACAATTTCTATGACTTGCACTCCATTAGTTGGGGAAAATATACCTTTATATTAAAAGACTAAGCATATTCACAAGAGTAAATTTGATTGTGTTTTCATTTTTATAAAACCTTTGTATTCTCTGGTAGATCAATTAAACTTGTAACCTAGTATATCTCTTCCGATTGGATGTGTTCTTCCCTTGATTTTCAGCAATATTTATCAATACCAAGCCACTTTTGAATGTTCAAATGAATAAATACAATTTATATATTTATTATTCACAGCACCTGCTCTTAAATTAAATTTACAGAACAAGCGTTTAATCGAAAATTCCCTCCTCGGCTGCCTTGTTGACCAGAGCCTTCAGACCAGCGGTGACCTCGAGGCCCACCTCGGTGATTTGGTTGGAGGGCAAGAAGAATCCGAAGGTACCCTTGTCACGCAGCTCCACGGTGCAGGTGAAGGGGATGTTCTTCACGCCGTAGGCCCAATCCTTGGCAGCTCCAGAGACGACATCTATGAGGGGTAAACCATAAATAATAGGTATAAATTAAACTTTTAGTCCCAGAAAACTCACAGTTAAGAAGACCACTAGCTCCATAGGTGAAAGCAGAGCCATAGACATCAGCAGCGGCATCAGAGAAAGCGGCGGCAATGCGCTTCATCTGCTCGTAATTGGGGGGGAACTCGGTGTTGGAGTGTCCATAGGGCAAGAGCACGTACTGTCCATAGGCATGGTAAGCCATGTACGATCGGATATAACCATCCTCAAAGGAGCTCACGAAGTTTTGGAGGGATACGATCTCGATCTCAGAGTTGGGAACATCACCACCGAACCAGTGATCGCAGGGCTCATCGATGTTCCAGCCGGCACCTTAAAATTTCAAGTGATTTAATATTTCAAATAAAACAAAATATAAACCAAAATACGGTTACCTCCCCAGTGGTAGTCAAAGTTCCTGTTCATATCGATACCATAGCAATCACCAGTATCATTACTATATCCATTGGGACGACGGTTCTTGCGCCACAACCTCTCCACATCATGAGTGTAGACAAAGCCATCAGGGTTCACCATAGGCACAACAATCCAATCGTACTCCTCGCTCAGACGCTGCATCTCCGCATCCTCAGAGTTGATCAATTGGTTCAGGAGGAAGGTGACGGTGGCGGACGAGATCCATTCCATGGCGTGAATGTTTCCCTCCAGGAAGATAGCCTTGTTGCCCGACCGCTTCGACAGCTTGATGCTCTTAATATCGCGACCCTCATAAGACTGTCCAATCACTTTGCACTCCAGGTAATCGTGGGCAGCACACTCCTTATCAATCCAATCATAAATGGTTTCCAGAGAGTGGTAGGACTCCCATTCCATTTCGGAATCATCGTCAACAGAGGATTCATCTATTAATCTGAATGGGAAAAATATATAAACCAAATGCTAAAGATTCTGGTAAGATTTAATAACTTACTTTTGCAGATCCTCGACAATTACTTCGTAAACGATTTCCAGGAATTTCAGAGTCTTCTCAAAAGCTCTATGGAACAGGGGGCCTACAATGATGTGGTATTTGTTACCGGGAAGACCCAGCTCGTTGAGGATGTGCACCTTAAAATTGGGTCCGTCATATGAAATATATATTTCTCTCAGTGTAAACTCTATTAACTACTTACAGTGATGTGCTCGTGAATCTTCTTAATCTCCTCCATTTGCCATTCCGTCTCAATGTCCAATTGGTAGACCCTAAAGTGGTCATACCGCGCAGCCAAGCGACCAGGAGCCGACTTGGACGACACCGTGGCCACCAGGGCCACCAGGGCGATCAAGAGGATATGTAGTTTCATTTTACTGGTTTAGTGGGCTGAACGTTACAGCGTTCACTGTGATTTGACGGATCCCAGCCAGGGCTTTTATTAGCTGCAGGAGTGGCCACTCCACTGGAGCGTTATCTAATTCCGATAGGGAGCTGCAGTCAGTCATCTGGCGTGTGTCTCCTGCGATCTAATCGCCCATCCAACCTACCACAAAGTAGCACTGGACTTTGCATTCGACGGAAACGTTTGTAAAATAAACGTTCAAAAACGTAACGCATTCTGCAAAATTAGCTTACGCGTTTAAACGGATATATAATTAAACAGAAAGTAACATATTGGTTAGCATATAAAACATATCTTAATTTGTTACATCATATTTATATTAAGTTAAAAATTATCTGTTTTTTTTTCGGTGCACTTCCTCTAACAAAGTCAGTCGAGTCAAATTTATAAATGAAATCATGCACCGAGTGTGGAGGCACTCGCCTTATCTGACTCTTTCAATTAATTGAATACTCCTCCAAGCGTCTGCGCGTGAAGAAGCACTTCGAGGAGCGTTTGTAGAATGTACTAGCAAGCTGAAGATCGACATCTTCAAAAGACGGTCTGCGGTGGGGAGAGTTACTTCGTCAAACATTCTATTGCGAAACCATTGAATTCATTCACTCAATGGTAATCGTCAAACAGAAGAGTCATTGTTTAAATTAAATAACGTCTTCAGGCTTTAATGACCCAAGCTATGTTTTCGATGTTTTTATATATCCCATAAGTTGAACAGCTATTACATCATCTCTTATAATTGTATATTTTCCAAATTATCAAAAAAGCAAGTGTGCATCTTCTTTTAGCCATTAAATTAAAATACTTTATCTTTTTATATTCTTTCGCTTTTAATCATAATTAATGTTGTTGAAATATTTATTTTAATTATATTTTATTTTTGAATTCATCTCTTATAAAATTGAATTAAATCTTCAATAAAATTAAATTTAACGAACTCTTCAACCAGCATTGCCAGATGCATATCATAATATATCGATATTTCACATACGCCCACACTAGAAAAGTATCGCTAAGAATATAATCGATGTTTAACGCCGGCCACACTGTGTGTCGCCATATTTCTTTTCTTCGCTTCCGGTGAGTGTGTGTACTCCGCGTTTTTTACTTAAATTAGTTTTATATAAAAATATCCTTTAATTCCTGCCTTGACTTATGTAAAATATCATACCTCTAGGTAGCATCTGTCGGGGTAGCGAATTATTGATCATTTTGGCGGGCTATAAGTAGATTAAAATCAGACTTGAAAAATCGATGAGAAACGACCCCCACCTGAGACATCTAGCCGCCCTTCAAAGCCGGCGACAGATGTTTTTCTCTTAGCTTAATTCACACGATTTATGATGGAATTATCTAACCAATTGTTGCCACTATATTTTTGAACAGATAAAGATGCCTGAACTGACTGAAATCAAGAACGAGGCTGCGCCATCCACCTCCGCTGAGGCGAAACCCGAGGATGTGCGCGTAGAGGATGATGGCAGCGACAGCGATTCTGATGGCGGTATGCCCGGTCTGGAGGAGGCTGGAGCTGCCACCACACAGCTGGGCGGAGGAGCCACCGGTCTGCCGATCGATCTGGTTTCGAAGGCCAAGCAGTCACGCGGCGAGAAGAAGGCCAGGAAGATCATGCTGAAGCTGGGACTCAAGCAGATCCAGGGCGTTAACAGGGTGACGATCAGGAAGTCCAAGAACATCCTGTTCGTGATTAACAACCCAGATGTGTACAAGAACCCCCACAGCGACACCTACATCGTATTCGGTGAGGCCAAGATCGAGGATCTGTCGCAACAGGCCCAGGTGGCTGCTGCCGAGAAGTTCAAGGCTCCTGAGGCTGCTGGTGCTGCCGACAGCGTGGGCGCTACCACATCTGTGGCTCCTATTGCCGAGGAAGACGAGGAGGAAGTCGATGACACCGGAGTCGATGAGAAGGACATTGAGCTGGTTATCACGCAGGCCAACACGACGAGGGCAAAGGCCATCAAGGCTTTGAAGAACAACAGCAACGATATAGTCAACGCCATCATGGAACTGACAATGCTTTAGAGCGGGCTCCAGCTGATGCTGAACTCCTGATTTTGTTGTTTACCCGCCTTTCGATACACTCTACTGACCTAAATGTTGTGTATGCCCCCAAAGGGCAGCATGTTACACCAGTCGAACATTTAATTATATTTCAAAAGATTATTGAGTCTTAATAAAAGTGGATTTCTTTCAGATACGAATTAATGTATTTTTCGACTAGTTTTGGTTTTCCTCTACGGGATGTCTTGAAATGCCATAGCTCGGTTAAGTATACACTGAGGTTTCAGGTTAAGTACTTTGAGATTATAGGACTGGCACATAAGGGATTACTATTGGGTATTAACTATTACATTTAAGTTTACGCCAGCTTTAGAACGCGTGCTTGACTGCGCGAGGACAGGCGTATATCTGCAGGGCACTGCATCCAGGGCTCGCCATCTGCCTGCATTGGCACTGTCTCCTTGACTTGCAGCTAAAACAGATAGTTGAATAACTGACATAAATTCAGTTGAAAGTCACTAATTCTTACCCTTATTTGCTTGGCTTGGCCAATACGAACTGGCTTGCTTATATTGCACTGCAGCTGAGCAATGTGAAAGGAGGAAACAATGCCGAACACTTCCATCATGCCATCGGAGATGGAGTTTGTGATGCGCACTTCACCATTGGAGTTACTAAGCTCGCACAGTTTGCAGCCAGCTCCCCAGGAGTCAATATTTAGGAACACCAGCGCTTGCAGTTCAGGCAGTTGCACTGGCTTGTTGTCCAGGTACAAGGTGAGCTTCTCCTCGATGTGTTCGCAGCCAGGTTGCATCACCTGTTGCGTTCCAAAGGTGAAGTAAAGAAGCTGTAAAGATTAGAGTAATTAAGATTCAACCCTACAGTTTTTCAATCACCCTACCTTATTGAATATCCGACTGCTCAGCAGATAGAATCGAGATTCCCGCGTCTTGTGGAAGTTGTAGGTAATATACGCGTCCACACCTACACTAAAATAGTTGTACACATGAATCGTCTTTGTTGGATGCCTTTGGATGGGTAGCCTATAGTGGAGTTTCTCTATTTGCAGATCATAGCGGTCGAGATTAACGGATCGGGCACGCCGTATACTTCTTAGGATCTCTACAGGATCGAGAACAGATGGCGGTTCAGCTCCCCACCCCAAAACTCGCGACAAATCGTTGCCGGTGCCCAGCGGCATGATGGCCACCGAAGGCTGGGGTTTGATGTTCAAAGCGTAAATAGTATTGAGCACCCAACCGATGGTACCATCGCCACCGGCCACCAGTATGCGACACGGGCGAGGACTGGCCTTGGCAGCCCATTGGAGGGCATCTTGTGGACCTCGTGATCCTAGTTCCATCACCTGCAGCGGATGCAGGTAACCACGCAACAGGGACAGAACGTTGGCGCCAGTACTGCTGCCTGACTTGGTGTTGGCAATCACAATTAGTGGTTCCCAGTTCTCAATGTCTGGCGGCGTAATGCTGGCCAAATGCAAACGCATTGAATCCCTAGTTCGAGCTGCCACGAAGCTGTAAGGCGGGAAAATCATGTCCTTGAACTCGCCAAAGTCACAGGCCCCCTTGGTGTCGACACGGGAGTAGCAATCGTTGTGGTAGCACCGCTGACACCATGCGCATCGCCACCCATACAATCCCGGGTCAGTGCTGACATGGTGATCTACCTCTTCCTTGCAGTCCGCACAATGAACTCCAATGGGCAAATTCCCGTGGACCCACAAATGCCGTACGGAGGTTTCGTTGCGCAACCATTTGTCCTTGCATCGGTACTCCCTGTCTGCTCTTCGCTGGCACGGAGGAGATGCATGGGTGCACAGGCCGCAACAGTCGCAAAAGAGTCCTGCAGAGGGGGTTAGCAGGATTTCACATACGTTGCAGAAGCAGGCCTGTAGAAGATATCTCATATAGTTTAGGACAGGAATCTCAACAAGTGATTCCACTCACCTGCTCCAAGACCTTTATTGATTTCCAGCTGTGACGTGTTTTGAAGGTACTCACGAAGTCCTCAGAAAGCAAGCTGCGGCAGAAGGCAAACAAGACTCCCAGCGCCAGCAAGGAGCCTATTAGTGCCTCCACACTCAGCTCAATAGTAGCTATGTCCATGGTCCAATCACAGAATTCCCAATTACGCTAAATATCCTGATTATTTGGCATTTTCGCTATGTTTTTGTCGATGTCGATGTAGCTGAGCCACTTTCGATAACATCTCTGAATCGAATTCAGGGTGACCTGTAGTTTTCAGACTTTTGACGTTAACCACACTGCTTGTCACTTATCGATTTACAAATCAGCTGTGAATTTGGCGTGTGGAAAATAGTTTGCCCTAGAATAAATCGGAAGTTTTAAACGAAAATTTCGTCAACATGAAGGTCATCTACAACACCCTGTTCAAGCGCACCTCAACCTACGCCGTGGCCATCATCGCTTCGGCCTTTTTCTTCGAGCGCGCCATTGATGTCACGTCGGTGGCGATCTTTGAGAGCGTCAACAAAGGCGTAAGTATAATGCTCTTATGTAAGAGGAGTTTCCTATCCAAATATTTCATTTTATCCTTTTTCTAGAAACTCTGGAAGGACATCAAGGGCAAATACGAATAAATAACCATGCTTCGTTGTAATTAGCAATAATAATCAACGTTTATTCTAAACGAAACAAAAACTAAACAGGGTTTATTTTGGTTATTTTGTTTTTGAGGGTTCTAAGGATCCTTCTGTTATGTCCCAGGGCTTTTCATGTCTTTCGGCATCCCAGGGCTGTTGGTTGGGTAGACGAGAGGGTTCCTTAAAGGACACGCCATTGTCCTGTAGGGTTTGGAGAAGCTTCTGCAACTTGCTACCAGGCACCGCCTCCAAGTTGCAGGTCATTTCCGTAATGCCAGACTGCAGACAACGATGAGCCAGCACTCTTCCGAGATTTACAAAAGCCGCAGTGTCGTTGGTCTTGTACAGCTGCTGTTTTATGGCCCATTCCGATGTGCTGGCACTCAGGATAGTTCCATTTTCAAAATGCTTGATATCGGCGCTGACATATCGACCACTGGTGTTTATCTCTAGCGTGTGCCAGTAGGAACGGCCGGGTTTCTCCAAATGATATCCACCTGGCTTGTACGCAATGCGTAATCTCTCCAGATTCCTGGGATTTCGATTGATTACATATTCAGTGCTCGTTTGCGGGGTGGTCAAAGCCTTTATTTTGTGCAGGACACGGGCGGAGGTGAGGGGCCGAGCACTGCGAGACATATTTGCACCCTTACTTTCCGAAAAATTAAGCTTTTAATTGATATTTTAGAATGGAATTATAAAACCACGACAAAATATTTTGAGCCGCTCTTAGAGTTGCCAGATTGCCATTGGCAAGTGTTAGTGAGCGCTTAATTAGTGCTGTAAAATGCCCAAACTTTAGTTCTAGGTGAATGGCAAAAAACAGCTGTTCAGTTTTGTTTTCCTTTCCTTTAAATTTCTAGTTTCTTCAGATTAATTTGGCCTTGAGCACCTTCGTCGCCCCCACCGAAATTTCGACCCCCTTCAGACATGCGCCAAACGGATCCGGCGCCCCCTGCCAATACGCCTATGAGTTTGCTGCTGAGGTGAAGAAGTGGCGGCTGGGTGAAGAAGCAAGCAGTGCTCGTCCAAAATTGCAAAGTGTCTATTATTCGGCCTATAAAAATCGGTTATGTAAAACCAATAAAGGCCTGCAAACTGCCCACATATCATACTCGTAAAATTAAAACCTAAAAATGTTAATGGTCATGTGTTCCAATTTGAGGCGTCCCGGGCACGTGGGCGCCGCATCCGCCATGCGGAACCTAAGTTTTCTAATCAACGGAGGATATAAACCGCCGATCCAGGCACTGTCCCGGGTGAGCTATATTTATTAACAGTAAGAAAGCAATCAATGTTTACAACCAATAAATATAAACAAAATCAGGCCATCGCTTTCTCTATTTTTTCACCTCGTTCCAAAATAACCACTTGGCACCATTTTCACCATATTTGGCGCGAAAACTTAAATTTATTTGAATCGAGAAGAAACCGCATTAATAAAATAATTATTTTAAATTTCACACAAAAGTAAAAAATGTACTTAGAACTTAATTGATAAAAAAATGAAAATAAAAGAGCATTCCGGATAATGTTGTGAAAAAATTAAAAATATAAAACTATTCTTAATGCTTATAGTTGGCAAAAACTGTTGAGCCTTTGCACATCATTTTTAAATTTTTTTTAATTCTCTTTGAACTCTTTTTTTTCAATTCATTTGTAGCAGTATTGGTTACCTTATAGCTTACACCTTAAATAAGCAAACAATGAAAGCCTCAGTACTATCTTGATAAATAATACCATTTGGGCAATTGATAAGAGAAACTCTGTCGAAACTCACCATGTCGCTCAAAGACCTCAAATCCACCCTTTGGCGCTTAAATTCAAATGCTTATCTTGTCAAGCCAAAGCAACGTGATCATTATTCACGGAAGCGCTTGGCTAAGCACTTTTGCTAACTGATAAAGATAGTTTCACAATCTCTAGTCAACCACTTGACTGTTGCCTCCTCACTCCCTCCTCTAGCTCCCTTTCTTTCGCTCTTTCTCGCTTTGTCTCTCTTTGTTAGGGGCAACCGCCCTCGTTTTATGCGTGCCTTCTGTGCTTGTTGCACTTGGCGATTTCAGTCAACACGAAAATCAGTTACGCTCGAAAGTTCCCGCCGTCCGGATGCGAAAGATTCTTAGGTGCCGGTGCCCAATATAATATTTTTGTCGAGCCGAGTGAAGGTCGCCTTGGATCTCTGACAACGACGTGAGTTTTTCTGCATTATTCCCGCAAAAATGCATTGCAGTGTTTTGCAGCAGATTTCCACTGCGCATGCTGCTAACCTGTGGCACAAAGGCGGCTTTTCCTTGGCGCGTTGGGGGTTGTTGGCAAATCCATCTGTTGACAAAGGAAATATTCAAATAGAAATATAAATCAAAATGCGTAACTCAGAGAGACTTCTACCCAGAAACAAATACAAAATAAAACTATTCTTGGGCCCGATAAGATTAAAGACTCCATGGTGGGGATTTGTTCGGCACTCATTGTTAATTCAATTTCCGTTCTTATCTGAAACCCACAGCATTACGTCCAAGCTCCGGAGGCCCGGCCCGTGCCCGATGAGCGGTTTCCGCCCAACCAGCAGGAGCGGAAGGATATCGGAACACAGACTGTGCGGAGCAGCAAGCACAAGGACCAGACTCCGCCTCCGTCACCGTCACCAGGCTCTGCTTCCCTTCCGCCTACAATGTCCGACCGGAAGACTGATCCCGCATTGGATATATCCACCGGAGTGGAAATGCCCTACAACATCGATTGGATATTCCCCAGGCTAAGGCACCCTACAAAGTTTTGGTATTTAGCCAGCCAGTTTGTCGTCTCCATCGTTGGAATCTTTAGCAAGATTGTGCTGAGTAAGTATCTATCCGGCAGAGCCGACCCAACCCAACAACTACTGGCCCAAAGGCACGTTTATTTTTGGCCAAGAGAAACGCTCGGAGAGCCCATGCCCCTGACCGTGAATACGAATGTGACTGCGAATCGCTCGATTGATAAACGATGCGCGGATGCTGGCGATCTCGCACATCGAGGTCAAACGTGTGCCGTGTTGTTAATTGGTGGCTCTGCACAATTATGCAAATGCTGATCTGTTGCCTCTCTATTTCGATTTGCAGCGTTTCTAAACAAACCCCGCATCTACAACAAGGAGCGTCTGGTTCACCTTGTCTCCAAGCGTCCTCAGGGAGTACCTCTGCTGACCGTGTCAAATCACTACTCCTGCTTCGACGATCCTGGCTTGTGGGGTTGCCTTCCACTGGGAGTCGTCTGCAACACCCTTAAGATACGATGGTCGATGGCTGCTCACGACATCTGCTTCACTAACAGGAAGCACGCACTCTTCTTTATGTTTGGTGAGTTTTTGAATTTGTCATAGTTTTATTAACTTTATATAACTAAACGACTCCATTCGCAGGCAAGTGCATACCTGTTGTGCGTGGAAACGGTGTCTACCAGGAGGCTATAAATCTGTGCATCGAAAAGGCCGCCCTGGGCCACTGGATCCACGTTTTTCCCGAGGGCAAGGTAAACATGGAAAAAGAGGAGCTGCGGCTCAAGTGGGGTGTGGGCAGGATAATCTACGAGTCACCCAAGATTCCCATCATTCTGCCCATGTGGCACGAGGGCATGGATGACTTACTACCCAATGTGGAGCCCTATGTGATACAGCGAGGTAAAAAGGTAACTGTGAATGTGGGTCAGCCATTGGACCTCAACGATTTTATTCTGGACCTCAAAAAGCGTCAGGTGCCAGAACCAAAGGCGCGAAAGCTCATCACAGATAAAATTCAAGAAGCATTTCGGGTATGTTTACTTTTGTGTATTTTTAAGAAGTATTTACTAATTAGATTACAATTTTACAGGACTTGCGGGCGGAGACCGAGAAATTGCATAGAGAACGAAACTAATAAATTAGCATGGAAGAGCCTAGCGGCTGACATTTGTAATAATATTTATTTGTATAGTATTAAGCCCAAAATGAACCCTCGAAAGCCCTTACAATCCATTTATTATAATTATAATTCCGTGTATTATGGTTAATTATTCGCGATGTAATTGCTGGAAAGGCACTTTAAGTGCGACAGTGTGCATTATTAGTGTAAATATACAATTGAAATTCATCTGAGTAGAGGGAATTATCTGGCTGATAAAATAAAATGTTGATCCTAGAATTCTATATGCCTTTCTTCGGAGTGAAAACTTTGGTATTATTTATTTTACATCACCCTGTTCAAAAAAAAATACTTAGGACGTGGTTACTCAAACGCGATGAATATCGTTTTGATACCAAAAATAAAAAAAATTTGGCAACATTATCACTCAGGTGTTTTAAAAATTCACCGTTAGAAGACGCTGAAAAAATATAGGCCATGTGGATTTATTTTACGTATTTATTCCAAATTCCACGTCCAAAGAAGTAAAGTTTTAGCAAGACGACAAATGGGAGAGCTTTTGCTGAATACACCAAAAAGGAATCAATTACTCAAGGATGGTCCACCTGTGCCCACAAGGTGTCAGATTTTAGGACGTGGGGCCTATGGAACGGTGTTCAAGGCTATTTATAGGGGTATGTTGAAAACCTTAGAAGAAATCAATGATTCAAACTAAAAGTCTTGGTGCAGATTGTGCAGTTGCTGTGAAGATCATTAGAGCCCATGCGGCGTCCACTTTACACAATGAATCCCATTTGCTTAACCTGGAGCACAGGAACATAGTCCGTCTTTTAAAACTTGAATCCGCTGTACAGTTCGGCTTGGTCATTATGGAATGCCCTAGGGGGCAATGTCTGCAGAGGATCGTAGACACTTTGGCTCTACCACTAATGCACAGGGTTTTGTAAGACCTCATTAACCTCTTCAGGAACCCATAATTCATTCATTATCTTTACAGAATAACCCTGGATGTGGTTGCTGCCTTGAGATACTGTCATTCCCAGAATGTATTACATCTTGATGTAAAGCCAACCAATATATTGGTTGCACTGGGAATAAAGTCTTCAGGGGTTGGCAACTTTTCAAAGGTCAAGCGGAGCTACATCTGCAAGCTCTGTGATTTTGGTTCATCCATTGAGATGGGCGAATATTGTGCTAGACAAGACCCAATTAATGCCAATGGAACCCTGAGATACATGTCTCCTGAAGCCCTGCGTTTAGACAGTCTATCCGAAGCCTCAGATATCTACTCCCTGGGCATTACCATGTGGCAGTTGCAAGCCCGTAGACTACCTTATCATATGCTAGATTGCAATGAAACCATAGCCTACCAAGTGGTAAAGCACGAACTACGGCCGGATAACTATCATCAATTAAAGATTTTAGCTTTGGATTCTCCCAGCAACTCGGATTGGAATTTTGTCAATGGAAACAACGCCGACGTGACATATAGAAAGGCAAATACATCGGCTAGACGTAATCTGAACCTCGATCCATCTTACACCGCCGGCCGTGATCTGAAAAAGAAACACCGCCGGAACCGATTAGCACTCCACTTTGATAGTCCGGCGCCAGAACCGAGTGCGTGCCTCGAAAATGCTTACTCCAAACTATACAAAAGCTGCTGGGTCAGCGCCCCGCAATCACGTTTGAGTTCGTTTCAGCTGAAGCATGAACTGGAGCTAATTCTTTGTCGTAGCAACAAAATAGTTTAAGTTAATGTAATTGTTTGCATTTTATGTTATTGATTCGTAAAGTACATACCAATATTTATGTAAGATTTTACCAACCCATCGCGATAACCTTAAATTTCTTTTTAAAGAAGGCGAGAGGCCACTGGTTAGGTCAATAATTTATTTTTCTGTAACTTCTTTTTGTTTATTTTTTGTACTTGCTACGCTAAGAAAATACATTTATAATGTTTATACGAGCTTACATCTATGTTCCCTCCTCGATCATAGTGCGTTCTGTTCTATATAGTGTAGGTATTAATGCTTAGGAATCGGGCTGCTGCGATGAATTAGTCGGTGGCAGCAGCCACTGAGGAGCTAACTACGGTTGAAGAAGAGCTTTGTCATTAGCCTGAACGACTGTTATTTACAGTTTATTGTTATGGTTGTCGTTTAATGTTCGCTTAGAAACCGTATATATATAACTATATATATATATATGTATATATCGTACCTATATATATGCCTTCTATACTGCATTGTAAACACTTTGAAATATTTCACCCTTAAATGCAAATGTTCAACTGCTGTTGTGGTGTGAGGAGCTACTAACTCGGTTTAGTTTATGTGGTTAACCATGATGTCCTACAAATACACTCGACTTGTGCGGAAGACTACAGTTTTAGTTCATCTACTCATGACCATAGCTAATAGTAATTTGAATTCAGTTTGAAGTCAATCAAATTGTCCCATTATAGTTAGTATAACCTACTAATTTGGTAGCTGCAACCGCAGCTCTACAAAATATATATATGGTATAGAGCTGGGCGAGCTTTTCGGTTTGGTTTTTCTTTTTTTTTGTTTTAGGGGGAACATTTGGCAGTGCCGCTTACAAGGTAAAACATCTTCCAAAAATTTACAATATACATAAATACTCGTATTCGTATTCGTACAAAACTCGATTGCTCCTCCTCTGTCGTTATCATTATCGTTATCATCATCTTAATGCTTCTGTATCTTTATCTTCTGTTCTGTTTTGTTTTGTTTTGTTTGAATATATCACAATTTAGTCTTTTTAAATCTTTAAATATTTGTTAGCTTGACGATTATTGATTTGAGATTTAGCTGTGTTGTATCCTAACTGGCGTAGGATCGTCGCACGGGAACTGGTGGAGGAATTTTCGATTTTTTCTTCTGCTGCTGCTGCTGGCCCTGTTGACCGGGAGACCTTTGCTGCGGTGACTGTGGCGAAGGAGAGGAGGGCGACGGCGACCCAGACGACGACATCGAAGAGGACGAGGACACCGATGAATGGATGCTCGTTGGAATTCTGGTGGGCTGCGCCTTGGGCAGGCAACTCTTTGGCGGCTCCGTTGACTTGGCTTCCTTCTGCAAATTCAATCAGCAAATTATATTTATTCGATCTCAACTTTCCTGCTTAAGATCCCCTACCTTCTTTGGCGAAACAGCCGCTGGTTGATGAACCGGCGAGGTGACCCTCTTCCAGCCATTGCTCCTGCGCCAGGAACTGGCAGTCGGTGGCGTGGAGGCCTGCCTTAGCAGCATCCTCTCCTTTAACTTGGTCACCATCCCGGGCGCCGGTGGCACCACCTCTTTGACCAACTTCGTCACCATAGCACAGCTGATGCTATCGCTTCGCACCACAGTGGACTCCAGTTCCCGGCGCTGATTGTGCCGCAGGATGCAACTTGGTTCCTGCTCCTCCAGCACCGACTTGGACTTCACCAGGACATGAGGAGGTCGTCGTAATTCGCTCTTAATGATCTGAGCAATGCACTGCTGTTCATCCAATGGTTTCATTGGCGTACTGCTCACTATCATGGGTACATCCTCGATTTCAATATCGCTAACTCTTCGCCTGCACTCATCGATTACCGCGTAATCGGGTTCCTCGTCCTTTTTCGCTTGACTGGCGGATAGCTCATCCGTTTCGCTGGAGGAGCAGCTGGTCAACTGAGCCCTTCCCGCCTCGCTGGGCGTGGGACTACCTCCATTTATTCGCCCCGCAGGACCTACTTGGCTTTCCGACATACTGGAATCTTCGGCGTCATCGTCGTCCTCATCCTCGTCATCCGTCTCACCCTCCAAATAGGAGTAAAGGCTGCGCGAGGAGTTTGAACGTATGTTGACCAGCTTATAGAAGTCGTTTGTGAAGTCCGTGCAGGCCACCTCCTCGTCCTCGGAGTAAACAATCTGGATTTATGAGTAGTGATTAATAATAATCCTATAAAAATCCAGGATTATCCCTTACCTTCTGCTGCAGCAGCTGGGCAATGCCATCGGTAACTGAATCCGTTTCCACGGTGGTGGAGTTGATAAAGTCACTTGATGGCCACAGCCAGTCATGATCCCTTTTCCTCCGCTGCTGCTGCTGCTGAGAATGCTGGAGATTGTGATGATGCTGATCCCGTTCATCGTCGAAGGTCATCACCGCCAGTTCCTCCTGCGACATGCTCCAGTCCTCCATTTCCGTAGAGCATGGCTCTGCGGGTAGAAGCCATTGCTCTGGTTCCTCTGGCAGATCCTCCAAATGTCCATTCGACGGCTGCGGCTGACCACTGCTCATAGTACAGTATCCCTCATCCCTGCCCTTCACTGGACTGGCGGACAGAGCTGCATTCTGGGCCTCTAGATCTCGAACCCTGCCCTTCAGCATGCTCACTTCCTCTCGGAGATTATCTTCAGCCACGATGGCATCCACCACCTTGCGCATCACATCGTCCAAGCAGTGCTCATACTGACGGATTCGGGTGAGCAAAGATCGATTCTCCTGCTGAACCGACTGGAGCAGGCTCTCCTGGCGGGCAAAGCGTGTCTAAAAAGTAAAAAGAATAAAAATTAACTTTAGTTAAATGTACTTAAGGAGTATTTAAGATATGGTTACCAGTTATAAAATAACCTTTTATTTATTTGGAAGTTTTTCTTGATATAATAAATTAATACCCCATATTTCCTTGGCACATATGTTATTATTTATATTTTCACTGAGATAAGTTCATTGATAAAAAACCTTCATATCTATGTTCATTATCTGTGAGTAACTATTGATTCAAGATAAGCTGTAAAAGTTACGCCTAAACATAAATTTTGTAACCTCTTTACCATATAGAAATATGTATCAGATATTTATGGAACCATCATATACGATATTAACTCTCTATATACGATAGTTTGAATATATTCTACGATAAGTTATAAGATTCAAATATAAAAACGATTTAAATGTCTTTCAAACTATAGTTAGTTATTATAATATTAGAATCTTAAAATGTTAAAGACTTGCTAATAAAATTTCCCAATTTACATAGCTAAAATTTGTAATTTCGATCTTTAGAGTAAAAACCATAGTTGAGAAAGGGCTAACTGATTAGATCGAGTATTTATCAATTGCTGGGGGGCAACCTTCGCCCCAACTGACAGCTGCCCTGATGAGGGTCACACACTGGCACACGGCTCCTCATCCATCAACCGACTTTGGTTTTTTTTATTTTTCTATAAGTGCTAAGTGAGCAGTAGTTACAAGACCCCTCGCCGCATTACCCGAGATCCCAGTTCCAACCTGTAACAAATATCCAATCTCGATCAAAGCCAACTTGTTAACTGGCCCGAAGGTCACATGTAGCCGTTTCGAAGTGAAAACCTTGGGCTTCATTAGCGGTGCCTTACAAGATTGGGTGAGATTTTGGCCGGGGGGCGCGGTGGAGTTAAATGAGATTGCCAGAAGTTAACGACGAAAGGGAAAGCATTTTCCCCCCGTTAAGTCTCTGGAAAATGGTAATGAAAAGCTGCCACTAGGGTGCAGTGAAGCGTCCCTAATGCCAACGCTCAATCAATTCGGGCAAAACAAAAAAATGAAGAAAATTGTAATGTGCCGGGCCAGAAAGCCAGAAAACATTTTCCAACAAAGTCTCGCCAACGACTCCAGTTACTCCGTCCGGATAAGAGACAATTTGTATGCGCCGGAATGGCAGCGAGGGGAGAGATTGTTCTTAAAAATGAATTTATGCGTTTATTTATGACTTGACTTGGAGGGTACCCCTCCCTCCCTTGCTCCCACTTGCTCTTCGCCATTTTCCTACAAGGAAACTCGCGCTGTGCAAATTGATTTTCCACATGCTGCGCGACTCTGTGCGGAAAAGCCCCTCGCCTACCTCCCAACCATACCCCAACCATCATCCATTTCCATCCCGATACATACCTGCAGTGCCTTGTGATCCCGACATGTCTGCATTTGCTTGCGTTCTTTGGATTTCATAATGCGATTCATGCTGTGGATGCCAAAGGGAAAGCGAAAGAAAAAAAACATATAGAGGACAAATATAGAAATGCATAAATGAAAACGAGTTGCGAAAATCAACGCTTTCAGCAGGGAACTCCGCGTATTGATTACTTATTTAAGAGTGCCTGAAAGGCAAACTGGCTCCATTGTATTCTATGGCTGTATTATGACTACTTTGAAAATAAAAACATATTTTTACTGCTAACAGAATTAATCTTTCTGTATAACTGACTGAGTTAAATTTAAGTTGAGTCAACTTTAGAAAACATAAAGAGAGCTTGAGTTGGATACAATATTATTATCACAATTAGTAATAAATTAAGATTGAGTCATATTAATAAATATAAACATAATGATTGTAAGCTCGTTCATTATTCTTTTGATAAGAGTAAAGCTTCTTTTTGAACAACAAAAATCAGTAATTTAGTAAAGTAAAACTAATAATAATATCATAGGAAAGTAATCACCAATCGAAACTCCCTGCTGAACTTTATACAAAAATAAACATAAACAATCTGCATGGAAATTAGCAGCTAATGTTGGTCATAAAGAAAGAAGGCTTAAATCTCGGCCTAGACCAGAACCAGAACACTTTGCACCATTTCCCAAAAATTCGCGGTAATTACGTATTCGGACCGGCAGAGGGCGCTGCCGAAGGGCCAGGTTGATTGATGGGCTTCGCAAGTAAGCGCTTCCTTTTTCTTTATCCACCGATTCTTGGCAATTTGGAAAATTGCATTCGCTGTGTGTGCCGTTAACTCGGTTCTGTGCGTAATGGCCAAGAAGCCCCCGACAAAGTAGGCGTAACTAGTCACGAGTCTTGGGTATGAGTTATTTACGTACAATTTTGCCAAAAGCCAAGCAAAAGCAGCGCGAAAAAACTACTCCAAAATTGCCGGCTAGACGAGTTAAGTAAATATTTGGCCGTTGCTTTACTTGGTAATAAGTTAAATGGACCATAAACCTAAGTAACGGCAGAGTGCGAGTTCTGGCTAGCCAACCCTCTTTCTTTATTTCTCACACTCGGAAAGGCATTCTAAATGAATGTTTTTATCGCGTTTAACAATTTAACTTATTTGTCACTTACTTCTCAATTTGTTCGCGCAATTCCTTCTCGAACGTTGGCGACCCGCATTGGCTCTGGAAAAAGTGCAATTGACCAGGGCACGAGGGACCACGGGGATAAATGAAAGAAAGAAATGGAAGATGAAACAGAAAACATTAAATAAAATGCGAAAGAAATTAAACACAATGAATTAGTGCACTCGCCGCTGATTAAGAACGACAATTTAATTGTCCATATCACAGTGCCAATCAGCAGCGTTTTACAAGCTAATGGATGGCGGGCGACAAAGGAGCTGGAGGTTGGCTATTTGTAAGGGGGATGGAGAATGTTACCGATACATTAGAACCATCCAGAGAGAGACTAACATGCAACACCATAAATCACCGGAGTCAACAACCCAGACTCTAGCTTTATTTCCTAGACACTTTTACTTCGCCGTCAACTGTAATCGATAAAAAATTACATCACGATTTTTTCATCTGTGTGACGTGACGATAAAACACACATCCAACCAAACAACAACAGTTTGTTATAAATTGTTTGCCTTAGTGCTAACAAAATGAATGACAACCAGCTACAGACACAGAATCAAGTGTAAATGAAACTATTGAAGTGCCAACACAAGTCTGAGATTACGCCACGAATAAATAACCATAGAAAAAGATATAGTAGATCGCGATAAGAGTCGATTCTGTTTGCTTGGGTGAGAGTGTTTCATAGATATAGTACGGGCACCCCTTCGACAAACTTCCTTGTGGCTTGCTTTAGATTCCCAAATGCCTGCCTTTGGCCATTAATCAATTTAATTATGCAAGAGACCTGCTTCAGATTCCCCAAATTCCCGGTAATAAGAACTCAGCGCTCCACTTGGCTAGGAATTTCTGGGGCTGGGCTGCAAGTCTTTTGTTGCTCCCCCTAAAAGTTGCACAGAGAAAAATGGTAATGCTGAATGGTCTTAAGCTTTAACTTAGCTATTTCTAATGTTTATTATGGAATAATCGGTATAACTTCTATGTAATCATGCTTACATACTCTTCTTTTCTCATATTTACCAACTTAAAGTAGATTCCTTCTCATTCCTTTAACCAATATCATTTAGCAATTTCCTACCAAACTCTTTCTCTTAAATTTCATTGTTAGTAAAAGAATGTAATAGCCAAATTCAGCTGCTAATATCAATCTAATATCATTCCAAATTTCCTCGTCGTGTAGTGAAATATGTCTAAAACGCTTTCATCTGCAACAGCAGCCGTTGAAGAAAGGGAGCCATAATAAAATGGAGAGAGGGAGTGGGGCAGGGGTAGTGGTAGCAGAGGGAGCGATAAAACGCAGCAGCACGCGCCAATAAAGAAGTCGCCCAGCAACCAACCAACCCACACCACCCACCACCCCTCTCATTACATCCCCTTGGCCAGCCGTTAAAGAGGCACCCGGAATTACAAATATATGCAATAATTTTTATTAATTCGCCTTCATGCATGAGGCGACCGTGAGGAGACCAATATGAAAATGCCCCCTTTTGCTGGAAATTCGGAGGCAACAACAGCAGGCGACAGCCGTTGGTGGGAGGAGGAGGAGGAGGCACGAGGCGGAAAATGGGGATCCCCAGACTGATTGCCGTCCTCAGGCGCCACTTGTGCCGTCGAATGGCGAGGAATGATGAACGTGTTAATAAAATTAGAGAGCCAAAGCGTTTGGACCACTCTTAGTCAACACTCGCCGCCCCAACCCCCCCTGAAATTTCCCACCCAAGACGCTATTTCGGGCAACTGGTGCGCCTGTCGGCAGCTGTTTGGCTACTGCACCACCACCCAGCCACCCAAAGAAGACCCCCTCTTTGCCACATTTCCCATTCAAGAGGCGACGCGCATAAATATTCATTGTGAATTTCCCTCATAAAAGCGAGGGAGTGGGAGAGGGAGAAACGAAAGCGGTGCCGACAGCGGAGCTTATTGATGAAGTTATAAAATCAGACATGAATTCTTTATTAATTAATCGAAAGCAACCACGACGGCCAAAATGAAACTTTTCGGCTACCAAGGCAGCCAGAAAAGTTCAAAAACAAAACTCCGCTCACAGGTTTCAATTAGCATGCGGCTTGCAACGGCAACATGCCGAGGAGGGTGGCCCAAAAAAAAATGATTTAAGGGGTTCACGAACAAAATACATAACCCCGGACCCAAAACAGAAATTAACAAAACAAATCCCGGCAACATGTTGCACCCGTGTCCTGGGGATACAAAAAACGAGCCAACCAGCCGACCAGGCAACCAGAGAAGGTCTTTCCGAGAGGGTGGCACATCATACGGCCATTTGCACCCGCAAACGCACTTCCGTAAGATGTCCGGGTCACCCTTCAGTCGTAATCCTTAATTTACACAGGGAGAAGTAAAAAGTTATTGGTTTTATGACAAGGATAAGGTAAGGTAGTAGATCTTTGGATTGTTAGCAATATTAATCTGTTTTAACTTTAACATTTGTAAATGAAAATCGAATTAGATTATGGAGGGGCAAGTTCTTTCCTTCTACTACTTATTCCTGTTCGATTTTTGGATCTGATCACCTTTATACAAACATAGTACCCATTTTCTCTCTGTGTAAAAATAACAAGATAACAAATTGCTTAATACCCAGTCTCTGAGTAACCCCCTTATCTGCCATGTCCTATCCCATAAAAATCATCCATTGTCCTGATGGGGGAGTTAATAAAAAAAACAGGGGAAAAATCCACGCGTGTTCTTAACGATCGCTTTTAAATCGAAGTTGGGCTTAACATTAACCCCCGTTTTTAACAAGGGCGAAAAATATGAACATGCTTATTATTAATTAACATGGAGCTGGAGCAGTGGGTGGTCATCTCCATTTTGGAATTTGAAATTTCCCAAATTGATTCTTACCATCTTTGTTCCCTGGTTATTGTTACAAGTTATTCCATTCCAAATGAGATTACTCTGGTGATTCCTTAAGTTGTTTTCTCGCTCTCCGATTGCTGGTACACAAACTTTGGGTAACTTTTGAGACCACAAAACCGTAAAAATAACAACCAAGTTGGAGTCCGAGAAATTCTTGTCTGGCTTAGGGAATGACAGAGAGGAGGATGGTTTGCCCCAAAAGCGGAATAAATTTCGGTAGAAAGCAAACAAGGCAGCTCAAATTAGAGGAAAAGAGATAATTTCCAGGAAAGCAAAAAAGTGGAAAAGGAAAAATTCTTTAAAAAAACACGCGACCGATGGTGAACATTTGTGTTGCTTTCGAATGCCGGCGAAACAATGATAAAAAGGACAAAAAGGAAACTGCGAAAACAACCCTCGTTAAAGTTCCTTTGAGAAGTTCTAAGAGAGAGGGAGCGAGCGAGAGCGCGAGAGAGAGCATTACTGGCGAATTCGCCGCAATTTTATCGAGCGAACAGCTGCTGTTAACCTGCTTACACCCCTTTCCCCATCTCTCCACCCCCTCCGATCAGCTGCAACAGCCGGCAAAACAACACACCCCATCCCACCCCCTGCTCACTCATTCCCTGAGAAACTTGGATGTTTTTTGATGTATTACTTCGAATTCGAATAACTGGAATTGGCCGTTTTTAATTTAATGAACCGCGACTGCGGGAGTGCGGCAGTGGAAACGAGATGGGTAAACAATAAAATAAACATTTCGCAGATGCCATGCCCAAGGAACAACCCTATGGATATACCCTATACATACTATATACTCGAACTGGAACTGGTGGTGATCCCCATTCACTCGGTGAATCTCCCGTCCGCTGCGTCAAATGCAAACACTAAAACGTCACTTGAGCAAGACGAACGGGAGAAGTGAAAAAATATAGCACTTAGAAAAATAAGAGCACTAAACTTGGACTTATATTTGAACTTAAGTTCGCTATAAATCTAAAAATTAGTAGCGAGGTCATCACTGCTTCTATCCCATTTAACCACTCTCTAAATAACTTTGGCTGTCTTTATATCCTAAAAATCGGCTAACCGTTGGTTAAAAGTTTCTCCAATTTCTGTGACATCAATATGACTACCTTTTTGTGTTGGAAATCTATTAACCATTGGTTTAATTAACACCTAAACTAGTAATCTACTATATGGGTTGCCAGGGAGATCTTTATTAAAACTTTCTTAGATTTCTGTAAGATCAAAATTCAACTTCAGTTTCCAGCTTTAACAAAACTTTATGAATACCTTAATGTTTCCTATTTTCTCCCCGTGTAACTGTGCGAGCGGGACGGACAAAGCAATTCCCATTCCCGAAAAAAGTTTCGCGAAAAATTAATTGCATTGCACTTTTTTTTGTCAAGGGGTTCCGAGCAAGACGACCTCCCCCATATGCCACATAGTGGTGGTAGTTCCGAAATTCTCTTCAGGTTTGAGGGGGCGTATATATAGTACATATATGAATCATCAAGTTGGCTTTAGGTTTAGCTTTAAAGCAAAAAAAAAAAAATCGAGAAACTGAATGAGGATCCTGGGGGTGGCATGCGGAAAAGGGTGGCTTTTCTATGCATTAATGGGCACTAGCCATAAGTATGTGCAACAATATTAAACTCCCGAGTGGCTATGACCTACCCTAAAATTTATGGCTATATATTCAGTTATGTACATAACTCTAGTTCCGGACCAGGATCCACGGATGGGTGGTTGCCATCGGTCAAAAAACGGCTACGGCAGCGGCAGCGGCGACGGCGACGGCGGCGATGGTGCCTTTATTTCCGAGTGAGTAAACCATCAAACGCTTGCGACAAAATTATTAGCAATTCAAAAGCACAAGAAGAAGACGCTGAATGATGATCATCATGATGATGACAATGATGATGATTAGAGGGAGGAAGGGACATTCTACTGATGTGGATAATAAAAAGTGCTCATGCTGCGACTTCTTTGCCTTCATCTTGTTCCTGACCCCCCGCCACCCATTTCACTTCACTCCGCGTCAATGGCCCTTGTAAGCGAGCCAAGTGCCACTCAAGAGACATCGTCCGAGACCAGGACCACGCCCCCTTCTTGACAGTTGACAGCGACAGTTTTTCTTTTGCCTTCTTTGCTTTGCCAGTACAGTGGAGCTTCTGTGAGAGCAACCATCACATCTTATGTAGTGGAAGCTTAAAGTTAAAGCTAGTTTAAGGGAAAAGCTTGGGAGTAAAGGTGTTTTTCCTTAAATTTACTTAAATGAAAAGTTAAACCTTAATCTAGCTTGACTGTACTGTACGCTGCCCCTTGCCCCTTCCACACGCTTTCTCCATTTTCTTAAGCTGCATGCAGCTGAGCTTATTAAAGGCGCAGATTTCCAAGGGCAACGGGGGCGAGTAGGAGGTGGCAGAGCGAGGGTGGCTGTGAGATTACTGGAGGGTCTGGACGGACAGCCATGGAATTAAAAAATGAGCACGTGCTATTGGCGAAAGTTGTGCATTGTGTGCAACTCGTCGGATGTTGTCTGTCTGTCCCTCCACTCCCCTCCCCTTTCAGCTGTCGTTAAATCAACTTTTCATTAGCACATGCCAATCCATTCAGATTTGGCTTGTTGATCTGTCGCCTGATTAAAGGCAAACAAATAAACAAAACTTCCGTTTAGTCATCTGCCTTTTGGCATTTGTTTGCCAGCATTTCGTACAACAAACACAAATATTTAAAGGGGACAAAGGATTAAATGTCGTGTTGCCATGTTGCCATGTTGCCTTACTTTATGGACAAGGGCTCAGCTGTTGTAACAAGAAAGAAATTGCTAAAAAATAAGAGGAAAAAAGGAAACTGTCAGCAATTTGAACCGGATGAAGATGGAAGACTTGAAAGGGGAAACCTAGCAACGAAAGTTGGCTGGCCTAAAAACCCTTTAGAAGGACTGCCTTCTTATCAATTAAGAGACCATAATCGTCGAGTTCTTGGCCTGGGAATCAATTACACTAAAGTAGGCCCACACATTCATTCGCCTTACGACCAAATAAGAAACAGATGAGAATGATGATGAAAGTGGGGGTCTGGTTGGAATGGAATTGGTAGCGAGTATACTGATGATTATGGGGATAGCATGCCGAATCGGAAGATGGATATTCATTGAATCGTGCCATTTATTGCATGCCACATGGCCAACAAGCTGTCTAAGACCGCCTTTAACCCACTACCCACCCGCCTTCGTTCCGCACTCACTTTTAGCCTGGGGAGCCGAAAAAAAAAGAAGAAGAATTCTGCAACATTCACACTTTTGGTGGCCCGACTTGTCAATGGATTGCCAACTCCCTCTCTTTCCTACACTAAAGAAAAAAGAATAGAGAGTACTTTTTGTGGTCAAAGAAGAGAAAGAATGCTCGAATATGCTGGCTGCTGTTTCAAACTGTAAATAAAAATCATTCCCATTCTTCTTTCTTCTCTTCTTCTCCACTTTTTCTCTCACTGCACTCTCTTCCCATTTCCTCTGAGCCACTGATATGCCAATAACAATAAAGTACACACACACACTCACACACACACCCATACACAAGGGGAGACTTTGACTAAGTGAAAACGAAGGACAGTGCCAAAAGCAGAAGTAAAAGCAAAAGCAAAAACCAAAGCAAATGCCAAAGCAAAGGCAAAGCAAAAGCAGCCGAGGGAGCAGCGAGCATAGTTAATCGTTATTTACAGACAGATAAAGTGCAGAAATATTGCCAAAGGAGCTGGAAGTTGGGACAGCGGCAACGGTAGCTCATGTATCCACTCCGCCCACTTCCTCACACCACGGCCAACAAACTCCTTGTGGTGCAAAAGAAAAGTAAAATAAAGGAACAACATCCGCATATGCCCATGCACTGGGAGAAATATGGGGTTAGAAATAATCAAAGAAGTTTTCTTTAATTAAAGTTTCAAATCTTAACTTTTAAATGGGTTTCCTCACTAACTACATCCTCTCCTTATTAAAAACCTTCTCAAGCCTAACTACTTTCAAACTACTCTTTTCTCCCAGTGCAATAATCGGATTCCCATGCACGGACCATGCTTGCAGCCTGGCAAGATGATAAGGCAGAGAATGGGAGTTCGGGGGCAACTGCCACTGCCACACTCGTAAATTTGGCTGGCTTGGAAGCTGGGCCGCCTGCCAAAAGCATAGAAAATCAGGCAATGGCCAGAACGAGCCAAAAACACAGTAGACCAAAGCAGGGCAGAGCAGAAAGCACTTTTCCACTTTTCCTCTCAACGCGTTTTGTCTCCGCCGCTTCCTGTGAAAATCAGGAACAGCAGGCGGCGGTTGGCCATTTGGCTGCGGAAATCATTGGCCAAAAAGAAAGAAGAAAAAAAGTAAAGAATGGGTGTGGGCGTGGAATGGATGGCAACGAAAGCCACTGAGGCGGCCACACGCTGCTCCTTTTCACACCATAAACTCCGAGCAGTTAACTCGTTTTCGGGGCTCTACTTCTTTTTTGTTATCAAATTCAATTACCTAAAGCCGGAAATGCGTATGCCAAGCCGAGCTCCTTCCGCCGGAAAGTTCCGGCCATTAAACTTTCTTTTCGGCCGACAAGGGGCAGCCTCATCCTCATCCTCATCCTCCGTCCATTCCGATGACAGTTTAGATTGTGATTTGCCATTGAGAGGACTTTGATCGAGTGCGTCGAAGGTAATAAACAGTCGGAATTTCCTATTCTTAGTTTTCTCTAAGACGCAATTTTCAGGCGAGTTTATGTTGGCCAATTTGCATGGAAGTTTTCTTAACTGGGACTGCCCTTCCCTTTATTATTTGTTAGATTTTCCTTAGAACTTTCTAATTCTACTAGAATTAACGTTTGATTAAGAACAAAGCCATTTCAGTTTTAGTGAATTCCTTTTTTAATAAGAAATCTACACCTAACCCTCGACGAGTGCGTAGGTCATAAGGGCCACGATACCAGCATGTCCCAGGTTGCCTATTGAGGCGCCAAGGCCCTGCTTGAAACTATCCACTAGAGCAGCACCATATCTGGCCATCAAGGCAGTAGCAGCCACTCCTCCGTAGATAGGAATTCCATCATTGACTGCCAGATAAGCGGTGGAACCAACGTTGCCCAGCAGAGCAAGATCCTTGAGCGTCTCGGTGGAACTGTCCCAGTCATCGCCGATCTTGCAAATCATATCATAGAACAGTGGTATCAACGACAGGCCATGCACCAGCGCCACATCCGATTTATCGGATAATAAGTAGAACTCGACATTAGCCAATGGTAAAAGGATTACCTCCAGTATGCTGGATGAGATCATAAAATCGCGTCCACACTCCTCAGGCTCCTCGATATAGGAGCGCACCAGTCCCAGCAGTCCATGGACCAGGCTAAATGATGCCGCCGTATAGGCGTAAGGATGCTCCGCCGGAGTCAATGAGTACATGGCATACATGCTGGATGCAATCAGCAGCAGATTGGTCAGAGCCCTAAGCATTTTGTTTTGGCTTTCTTTCGACTTTATCGACTTATATATCACGATTTGGAAGATTAGTTATTTTGTCCAAATATTAAAACCTAAAAATTTAGAACGTTGCTTGACGAAAAACTAAGTCCTACTAAGGAAATCTCAATGTGGTCTTGACCAAATAGTCGAAGGCAACTTTGTACGAGAGACATGATTTAAAGTTTTTTAAAGAATGAAAAACTGAAGTTTATTCCCCATTTCCCACCATTAAAGTGGAGTTTTTCCTATAGTCCTATCTTTCTACCCCCCTCCTGTTGGTTAATTTGATGTTGGTACCATATATGCATGTAATTTAAGCTTGTAACTTTTAATTGCCCGTCCAGGCAGGCGACCTTGTTGGCCCGCCCCACAGACCGCATAAACCGCACTGAGCGCAAACGACTGAACACGATTAATGACCTCCATGTCCATGTCCATCTAGACCCATTGGAACACAGCCCCCACCCCGGAAGACCCCTGCTCCGTAACAAAATCTCTCTCACACGCTGACCGCACAGGAAATTAAAATGCTTTGGGACCGGGAACGGGGTCCGAAAAACCCAAACTCCGGCGACATCAAATTCAAAGTTCATTTCGAGAGCAATGTCCGGGACACTGGGTAATAACATCTCAACTTTGCAAGGAGGCAGGGGTATATGAACTTCTAGATGAGGCTATGTACACAGGATGAATGGATAGATACATTTCCGTAGGAGTAGTACTCACTTTCTGGAACTGCTCCTGCAAACGCAGCAGAGCGCCTTCAACTTCAATCATCCGCTTCTCCAACAACACATCCTGCAAGAACAACAAAACAGAAAAAACCAAAAACTGAGGAAGCAGCACAAGAAGGCTAAAATCTAGAATGGCTAAAATTGCTAAAAATGTCTAAAATCCCGATAAATGAAAATTTAAAGCTAGCCGAAAAATGTGCATGGGTGTGTCTTTTGTTCTTGAATTTTCCGTGTATGCTATATAGTACATATATATGGCCAGTGAACCAATGGAGTTTTCTAATGTGGGTGTGGGGGTGTTTTTTTTTGTAGTTTTAAAGCGTTTTCAGTGCTGCCCAAAAGCATTTAATACTAGGCTTTAATGATAGTTATATATAGTTAAAGGAAAGATACAAGATTTAAGTTATAAAATGCTTAAGTTTATGCAGGGAATCCTTAGACTTATGTTTCTTAAAGCTGTTTTCTCAAAGCCACTACTTTCTTAGGGTCACATCTTATCATCAATATGTTTATGCTTAAAGGTTGTTATTTTTAAGATTCAATTTTCTTCATTATTTCAGGTCAAAATCACAACTTGACCTTCATTAACTTTTTAACTTAACAACTTAGCCACCACTAATTACAAACTATAAAGTTAACATACAACCGAGAAGTCTATAATACATCACCTCCTATTACTAAGTGCCATAAACTTTTCCCTGCTATAATTTCCAATGACAACACTCCCAGCAGAAAAGCGAGAAAAACAATTATAACAGCTTGTTGGTGGGGGTAGAAAAAAGGAAAAGCAATTGAAATTAATTTACGATCTTGTCACAGCAACGAAAACAGAAAACAGATTCGAGGTGTAAAAAGCAAATCATTGAACTCTTTTGGGCACAATCCCGATTTTCCGAGTGAATGCAACATTGCCACATTCAAACCAAACCAAAAACCAAACTGAAAAAAAATGAAATGAAAAACACAATAAGTATCAACTTAATCCGCACGCGATGAGGAGAAGGTCTCGGGCAGTTTGAAAAGTTGGGCCAAAAAGGGGGTTTAAATGGGGGGAGAGAGGGGATTGCTGTTGCAGGTAGGCAAGTTGCAGGTGTGCATGGCCAATAATTCACCGAGAGAGCAAGGCTGACATGCCACAGAAGAACCGTGGCACATGAAGTCGAGTTTTCAACTTGAAATCGAACAGAAAAAGCCACCTAAGAGATCAGCTACTTAGTGGTGGACTATATACTACATATATATACTATATACTCATGACAGGGAGTCATCAGGAGGCGGAGGCGTGGGCAGGAAATGGAAATGGCAATTTCCAAGTTTTCCCCTGCCTAAAAATGGCCAACAAATGTTATTTGGCTACAACAGACAACATGAAAAAAGACAAAAAAAAAAAAAAAACTAAAACTAATGTGACGCCGCCGCTCGTAAAACACCAGTTTGCTTTTTTCGTTTTTTTCCTGTAGCTGCTTTCTGTTTTGTTAAACACTTAATATTAGTTGTGGAAGTTGTAAAAATAATTTTTATTGCTTAAGGAAAATGGGTTGTGTTGTCTTTTGAAGCTTGGAGTTGTTTTTTTTTTCAGCTCGTTTTTTTTCTTATTTTTTTTTTTTTGAGTTTTTGCGCAATAGATAAATTGATTTTTGTTGTTCTGCCGTAACGAGAGAGAATTTATAAAGATTACGATCCGAGCGTGATTATGAATGGCCAAAAGAGTTGGCCAACTAAGCGAGAATGAATGCCATGATTTGTGGCAGGAAATTAGCCAGTCTCGAGGTGGAGCAGTGACTTATACAGAGAGAAAAGTGGGTTTAAGTGAAGATGGTTTGCTTTTTGATAGTTGATGGTTGATTCCTAGTGATTATTGGCATCGAAATTTAGAGAGTATAATTTTAATAGTATTTCCCAAGTTTGAAATATGTTATATAGCTTATTTTAAGCCATTAATAAGAAGCCCTAACAGATTCATAGAAATTTAAGTTAACCTACATACTTCCTTCATTAAGCAAAACTTCACCTTTTTTCCCCTCGATTTCTACAACTTCTGAGTTGGAGACTTTTTTCCTGTGTAAACAAATATAGCCTCAGTAGGTATACTCGAACACATATCCATATGCTAATGCAGGCAATGAAATGGAGACGGCGACAACAATGCCAGCCCATAGACTTCTATTCCAGCTGGCAGAGAGACTGTGCGCATGTGCAGCAGTGTCAGAGAATCGGAGACTCTTAGTAGAATCAGAGCCAGAGCCCAGAAGCTGCAGAGTCCAGAGGAGCAGAGGGATCCGTCTGGGCAAACACAGCAAATAAATAGCTGGCAGTTCGTTGAACTCTCCTCAATCACTCGTCGCCAGTGCGAAACTGCACAGTTGCAACAGCAACAGCAGCGCAACAGCAGCAGCAACATCAAAAGCACGGCAGCCAACTTATGGGGAGAGAACGTGACTGGGTTCTGATGACAGCCATGGATGCAGTGCATCAGCTCCATTGTGTGTGCACAAATAATCGAGATGCCATTTGGCAAATTTGCCGCGAGTGGGTGGGTGTCTATGCCTGGCCAGCTGGAACTATTGCGGCTGTGCCTTTTGCCTTAAATCTTTGGTAATCGAAACACGCAGCCTCTGGAGCGGATTCGTGGGTTCAATTAGCTTTAGCCGTGACTTCTGCCTAGCCAGTTGGATTCTGGGAAGCATTACCGCGTCAACTGCCATTTACATGGAGCAGTTACCACGTTCCTCCAGCTGGCCCGGCTCATTTGCAGTTGCTTATGGACCATCCAGGCACATCCATAGCCAGTAACTACCATAAATCAACTACAGAGGCCGCGCATGCGCCATACTTAGTGCTATTAAAACGTCACGGAAGTCGAAACGTGAGCAGCACCGAGAATGCTCCTCCATTGGAGGGAACATATGGGAGCACACCATCTAGCATCCAAGCGAACCATGGGAAAGGCTAAGCAAAGCCAGGGTAATTGTCAACATTTATACGCGATCAATTAGGCCGAGAAATTTGGAAAGAAATTGTAGGGAAATTGGTGGATAATGATTGCTGGATAAATGCAGTCAGTCAGGCAGAAGGGGTAGATGGTTAACGTGACCCGGGGGATTCCGGAGATTCGCATGTCAAGAGGTCATTTAGCCAGCAACCCAAACGAAAAGTCCTTCATCAATCTCGGGAACGCCGCTGTGTGATGTGTCTCAAATGGCACGTTAACGAGTTCAAGTGGCTCAAACTTAAACTGAAAAGCCGAAGGTTCAAAGGTGTTTGCCTCGCCGAGAGTCTCGTTTGCATGCCGCACACTTTGGGAAAATTCTCCACACGCCACACAATGGAAAGCGCGAGCTGCTCTTTTATTGCTTTCCCCTGCTGATTTTCCATTTTTTTTTTCTGTATTTTTTGATGTAGAAAATTGGGTTAACCATTCACAAAATACCAGAGCCGAAGGTTAGTCGATGGCGAAGGTAGTAATATAGCTATATACGGGGGCTATGATTTGATTGTCTGTAATTGGATGGGTCTAAGCGCTACGTGCTCTTTCTCAAGTCAAAAACCAAAAGCTGGGAGTTACAATGCCAAATACCAAGAGCTTGGGGTTAATTATGGTATCCCAAAAAGAAAAGAGAAAAGAAAAGAGATCTCACCTTATCACAGCCGCCGGAGCCGGAGATGGAGCCTCCTCCACCATGCCGCTCTAGGGAGAGAGTTCCTGCCTCTGATTCCACGGGTGTCCTTGGCTGATGCACCAACTGTATCCTGCCCTGGGAGATCTGTATATAGTTCGGTGGCGGCGGCATAATGTCCAGCACATCCTCCTTGTCATCCTCATCGCAATCTTTTTCATTTTGCCTGAAAGTTTAAGAAGTTAAAATCTCGATTAGTTTCTGTTTAGTTTTGGTTCTTAACTTATAGTCTTAGGACTACCAAAAAGCCAGTAATTATTAATTCCAAAGTGGTTACCATATCGCCTTGGCATAGCTGGCATTTTCCTTAGATTGCCCCATAAAGAAGTGTCAAAATATTTGCCGTTTTCCACATTGCTTATCGGCAAAGTCCGAAAGAAAAAATTGTTGCACAATGCTAAAATGTATACCACAGCAAGTATAGTAAATATAGGCTAAGCGAAACTTTATAGTGACAGCTCATAAAGTGATCTTAACTGATAGTTGCTCTTAGTAAATGCACAGAGAGAAATTTATGTTTGCTTAAAGGAAAGTCAATCAGCTTTGTTTTACAGTAAATATTGTTAAACTTGTATTACAAAATGTTATTAAATAATTCTCTATAGTTAAGTTGTAAACAAATGGGTAACTAATCATAGAATAAACTATAATATATATAATTTGATTTTATGTTTTCAAACTTAGTAGCTGTTATATCCTGTTTTTGGTTAAGTTAAGTTAGTTCACTGGCTGATAAAATATAACATTTCCTAGTAAATTAACCATCAGAAAACCTGCAAAATATAAGTTACTTAACCCATGTTCACTGTACACTTCCAATTGATGGGGGTTACCACCTTGGGGCCATTTCTGACACGACCCAAATAGACTGCGACAGAGATATCAATTGTGTTGGAAACTCAGAGTGTGCAAAGTGCATGGGATCACCTGCTGCTAGCCTTAAGGCTACTAAGATATTTGTAACCATATATATATATATATATAGAGTAGTATCCTCTATATCCCAGTGCTAACAACGAAAAGTCGCTCGTTATTTCCAATTGAATTTGCAGCTAAGTGCAAATAATTCGATAAAATTGCCACTCGGAGGCATTCGAGTGGGCAAGCACACACAGGCCAAAAAACAAAAAAAATAAGCAAACCAAAATCACCATGAGGCCAAAATGCTTTTGGCTTGCCAGCTTGTCTACGTTCACATCTAAGCCAGCTTCTGGCCCTCCTCTTAGCCCCCACCCCTTTTAGCTCTTAGCCCGGTCCAGCTGCAATCCAGTTTTACACACTCTAACTATCGAGTTGCAGTTGAATAAATGGCCAAGACAAAAAACCAAAAAAAGAGCCACAAACAATCTTACAAGCTAATCGCACAAAATGTTTCGTTTCGTGTTTGACGTTGACATCGGACAAGTGGGCAGTGGCCACTACAGATAGATATATATATATATATATATATCCCAGATCCAGCATATCGGTGTCCATATCGCTTTTCCAGTATTCCGCTGCCCACGTGCCTCATAGAATTTCCATTCGTCTTTGATTTATAGGCATCGAATAAAGCAATCAAAATCAATTTAACTGTTATCAAGCTGGCCATTGGCAGTCGGTAATTAAGTGAGACGCCAAGTATCTCATTGCCTCGCGTGCAAGTGCGTCACCCATCCATCGAGAAATCATCCTGCATCTGCGTTAGATGCAAACCTAATTAGCGAGAGACCGTCGGGGGGGCAAGTCAAAAGGCCAGCTAATGACATTACAGGGCTTTAATTAACGTTGCCCCGCGTATTGCCGCCACCCGATGTGGCACTCTTCCACGATTCCATCCATCCCATCAACCAATCAATTGACAGTGAAATAGTGCCGCAGGCGGCAAGGTGCAGAGTGCAAACGTTGCACTTTAGGCGGACCAATTTAGCACTGACTCATCCAACTTATGTGTGCATAAAATGAAGTGAGAGAAAAACTTAGCAGCAAAGATAAATTATAGATTTTCCAAGCTATAAAACTAATTTTGTGTTAAAATAAGATACATTATTGTAAATTAAAAGCTTATAAGTGGTTATACCCAAACTTATATATAAAGTTTTTAAACATATATATTCTGAATTTGAATATTCTCCCAGTTTCTTCCAGTGCACGAATACGGGAGCCATAAGTTACGCACAAGTTTTGCTTGAATTTGCATTTCTATCGAGGCGCTTTCCAGTCGAATGTGTTTCTGATAGCTCCGAAGGGGGGAATTATTCCAGTATATATATACTATAGCTATAGCTTTGTCGATTTCCTATCCATCGGTCATTCGGTTAAGCCCCCAAACCCTCAACTCCCCTCTGGTTGTTCTTCTCGCTTTTTGTGCCTTTGTGGCACATTCGTTTACTGATTATGCGTTTTATGCGACGACCATAAATTTCCGCTGTCGCTGCTCTCGTCTGCTTCCTTTTCTCCCTATATATATAGTATATACATATATCTGTATAGTAGCTACCCAAAGCCAGACTCATCCGGAGTGTCCAGCGCTTATCACTCGGCCATTGCAGTTGGCATAAAAATAAATATTGCACAAAATGCGTATAAAAAGTGTATAAAATGAGGCACAAGTTGGGGGCAAGTCCGCTTTTATACGACCTACAAATAAGCCGCATAAGGCGCTTACTTCTCATTCCGATTTATTTTGTTCTCGTGCCTCGTCTTTTGAGAGCGATTTGAGGGGCATAATTATGCGAACAGAGTGTAATTGAGGGCTGCTCACGCCGATAAGCCAATGGGCATAATGTGGTGTGGTCTCGGAATGTCCGAGATAAGAACGCGGAATGGAGCTCAAGCGGATTCCTTGCTGATGAGTGGCCCACTGATGGGTTACTCTTTTTGGTTAATATCATTCCAAGTACTTAATCACAAAGGAAATAAAAGGGGATTTAGTGGGTTTTATAAGAAAATTATAAGGTTTTTGGCATTGAATTTGATTAGTTTTGAAAGAAATCAAAATGCACACAAACTAATCTTGCTTTTAGCATTAAATTAGATTAATATTAAAAGCAATCTTTATATTTCGTATATACACCATCCATCTTTTATTTTAAAACTCATAGAAAAACAAGTTTAAACTATTTTTAAAAACCAATCACCATAATCTAAAAGTGTTTAAAATTCATTATTTTTAGCCACGTTTAGTATTCGAGTCATGGAACTATTTGGTTGATCATTTAGCTCTGCCTACTGACGTCTGCTAAACGCTCAATTTGCATTAAACACACCGAATTATTAAACAGCAACTGCAAAGTGCATGTGGGAATATTTGCACACATGCTGTTATGAATTTTCCACCGGCTTTTCCTCTGTGTGCTGACAATGAGGTCGCCAGAGCAAATAATTTACAGTACTCTGCAGTAATTGCCATAATTTTCGACTGCCATTCGAACATGGCTCCCCTCTCTACCCTCTCTCTCTCTATCTCTCTCTCTGTTGGAACACTCTCCGCCGCCCCCATTCCTGTCATGAATATTGAAAATCGAAGTTAAAGATGAACCGCCCAACTGCCCAACTGTCCAGCTGTCCGAATGTCCAACTGCCAGAGCTCTACGCTTGTGGGTGCCCAACTGACATGGGCGTGGGTTGGTTGGTAAAAACTAAAAGAAACCATAACTGAAACAGAGTCAGATTTAGATTCAGATTCAGAAACACACACTGGCCACACGCAGATGAAGTTGCAGCCTCCTCCACTTTGGGTCTTACTAGCAGTGAAGCTTCTATAAGGGGAAAATGGAAGTTTATAACTAGAAGATTGTTAATCAGAAACATTTCTTGAGTTTGGAAAAAGTCATAGGTTTAAGGCTTAAACTCATAAGCAAGTATTAAACAAAAAGAGTTCAGATTAAGTATATTTTTCCTCTTATTAAAGTCTTTTAAAATTATTTTTGATAATATTCTTTCATTTTAAAGACAATTTTGTAGTATGGAAGTTTCTCTATCTGAATTTTTGAACGCTTTTGGTAAAGTTTGGAGTTTAGTTTCCAAACATTAAGCAAAACAGAACACTTTTGATAATAATTTCTTCCACAACATTTTTCAAAAATAGGTCTACATTTCTTATATGCTAAAAGTACTGAAGTTTTCCAAAATGAAATTTTAGAAAGAGAAACCACTTATGATTTTCCAATAATGGAATGTTGTATATACGACTCAAAAGCTTTCAAGCATTAAGGTATAAAAACTTTTCAAAACTTAAGATTTCAAAGAGCCTTCCCACTCCTTACTTTATAGCTCAGTAATCTAGTCTCTAGCAACGATCTCAAGTTCTAGCATCGTGCAACTTTGCAACTTTAGAGAGTCCACTACTGTTTGTTCTGGCGCTGTGAAGTTTTCGGTTTGTTGAATTGCATAATTTATGGGCCTCAAGATCGATTTTAATCGTTGCTGTTGTATCTCACGGCCTTATATGGCAAGTACATACACATATATACAGTTGCTAGAACAGAACAATTGTGCCTGGGGGGCGTGTCTGTTCTGTATAGCTTCACCGTTACATACAGCCACTTATGCATACATATGTTCTTGTGTTAATTTATTCATGAAATAGCTGGCGTTCGCTCGCTAAAGCTAAGCTTCCGTTATAAATCCGCGCTTAGTGCACTTTATGCTTCGCTGCACATTGCATACAGAGCTCTCACTCCCACACTCTCTCTCTCCCTCACACTTGCACTTTGTTTACTCGCCAAAGGGCCCTCGTCTTCGCCTCGCATGTAACCCATTTCGCAGAGTTCAAAAACAAATCCAAATCCAACAGCGCAGCCCAAATAGGCGTGTCTGGCTGTCCCTCTTTTCTGGCTGTAGGTTTACTCTAGAATGAGGTCTTAATTCAGGGGTGTCATCTGTAGATATTTTCACGTCAGAAAGTGGTTTAAAAGGTGGTTACTTAAGCGGAAGAAGATCTTAGTTGAGAGATACAAAAAGATATTAAACTAAAGGCAGAGAAAGTAGTATGACTTTGTGCTTTAATTGAGAGATAAAAACTCTTATAATTCTATCTAATATTTGGCCACAGAAGTTCTAGCTATAATAGTTTAGCTTTTTAAGCTTTAAAATCTCTAAAAGTCCATACCCCCGCCATCACTATCCCTCTTCCCATTCCCAAAGCCCATTGTGAATGTGTATTTTGTCAGTTTGAAAAAGTAT